CTAATTTTATCAGTTTCATTCTCTTTCAGGAATGATATTGTGATGACATTTGTATCTGAAATTGATGGTCTACTTTAGCTTTTTGCTATTTCAAGTAGCCTACTAGGTATTTTTCAACTGGTTGACATATCTTTTTTGATTGGCCACAATTTGATACAAATGTTAGTCCCGATATGGTCTTTGCGCGGTTTCTATAGGTACCAGACTACCAGTATGATGGTGCAATGGATGAGAGATGGTGGAGCAAAGACCGCTTTGACTATTTTGTGGCAGGTTTTTTTTATACTTCCTGTCCAATTTCGTCATTGTGGTTTATGCTTTTTTTTTTACAACGTTTTCAGCAGTAGTAGTAAAATCACAGACTGAGTTCAAATTGTGTTTTGGGAAAGTTCTGATTATCCTCTTTCAATATGGTTTATGTTTTTGGATGATCTTCACCAGTTTCAAAAGGCATGGTTCAACTGGTTAAAAGCTTTTAGATTGCAAGCAGAGTCCTATCCTTTGCAGGTTGGATACATTCACGACCAATTTGACTGTTTTGTGGTATATTTTTGTAATAATCTTATGCCCAATTTAGTCAAAGTGGTTACTCTATTATTTCTACAAGTTATTCAAAAGCTATAGACAGAGAGAGCAGTGGTAATAAGTTTTTTTGGCACTAGGATTGAAATATTCATCTATTTAGCAGTATCATTCACAAATTTCGAGTGTTTAGAAGTGGGGAGTTGTTGCTATTGTAAAGTTGTATATTTATAAAATCTTGTCTAAAATGAAAACAGGCAAATGATCTGTATGCTATGATTCTGTATAGAACTTTCTAAAACTTGAGTTGACCAAACGACCAAAGAAAACATGAAACGACAAGGAAACTACCAAAGAAATTGGGAAACGACCAAGAGCCAAGTCGAAATAAAATGGCCAGGAAACAACCTCAAACTATTTTGTAATGAATTCTAAGCATGCTAATCAGGCCAAATATGTACTTCATTTTTCAAAATCATACATAGTAGTCATCAAACACAGTTTTAGTGGAATTTCAGGAACAACAGACATCTGATTGAATGTTAAAACTTTGAAGATAAAATGTTACACTTTGTCTATTACACAGTTTTGCGATAGCATACTGTTGCCCTTGTGTTATGATACAAGTCTTAAAGTGGAATGATTGCCAAGCAGTGTAATATAATTGAGCACTAGATCACATTCTAAGGAGAGTTAGAGCCACAGACGTCTAAGGCCCATCTACACAGTAAAACAGGTTGTATACAACTTTTGTAATATATTCCTTGTAAGTTTACACAGTATATAAAGTTGCATGAATCACTCCCAATTTGTTTACATAAATTGCTGCCAAAATTGAGAATGACCTTTTAAGATTTAAACTTGTGCTCCCATTCGTCAGATATAAAAGTTGGATACAGCTTGCTGTACAGAATAGAACATGTGAAATATACTACTCCTGGAAGCTGTATTAATACTTGTACAGACAACACCCACACAAGGGTCACACTTGTCTATATGTTTTCATAATAATAATTTTTATTAGAATCATAGTTTCTTTGTCCAATATGACAATTTGACCTTAACATGTGTTTTAGGTAATGCTGCACATCAAGGTTTATGACCCTCGTTTAAGATCCTCAAAATCTTGATGCATGGAAGTAAAGGTAGGTTTATTCGAATCATCTGTCACCCTCTAGCAGTTTTGAATACACAGTGCTATGGAAAAAGTGCAGGCTAATGCTGCTGTCCTGACAAAATTTCCCTCATTGTACCCTGCATGGCATTGCCCGTGTTCAGTAGCCCAGATGGTGCAGAAAAGTAGGATGTAAAACCCCATTCATTTAATAAAATTCTGCTAATCACTGAATTATTTACATGCCTCAAACTACAAACAATTGGTAAGACTATGATTGTAAGGCTGAAAACATTGGTTGGAAAAACGCTCATATTATAATGAAAACCTTGTCTGTCCGTTCGCATTTTTATCCAATCTTGATGAAACTTGATATGGATGTATATATTGATGAGATCTCAGTTAATTTCCAAAATGGGTGATAATCAGATGAAAGGTTTCAGAGTCATTGTCGTTGTGTGTACAATGATGGGACTTTGTTCATGATTGAATTTGATTATAATTTGGATGAACTGTTTTTGAGGTTTTGCCTTGACTTTAAAATATTTTAAAGATTATTTGAAAATTCATTATAAATTCACTAATGACTTAGTTATCATTTCTGACAGCTGGTAGTGGGCGTATGTTTTGTAAATGTGACAGTTATGGACTATTTAATTGAGAAGATCGTCATGTTGTACTTCGTATTTGTTTTGCAGGTATTGGATACATTGCTACCAGAGAAATAGCTCGTATGGGAGGTCATGTTATTATATGGGTAAAGCCGATGCGGTAAGATTATTTTTTTGAGGGTACAGCCGCCCACCCTCGCAGCCCCAAAAGCAAGTTTTTTGGCAAAAATCTCTCAAATAGGTTAGAGATTCGGACGTAAACCTAGCTCTGCCACTGGTTCAGACGACTAAAGTTAAGGCATTTTAACTATCAGCAGGTCTTTTATTCGTCTGAACGCGAATGGTTAAACTTAATCTGCCTTAACTTGCTGTAGGATATTTTGACCTCCTATAGACCACTTTACAGATAGAGCGCGCCTGGTGGTTCGCGCATAAAATTGCGTTGCATTGTGGGATAGTAAGCGTCCTTAGAGTTCCGCCATAATGTAAACATAATACATAGAGTAGAGTAGAATAATGCAATAATGAGCGATAAGAAAGACGTAGCTGTGTTGAGCGAGATGAATTGGACGTTTTTCTTAAAGACCGGGGAATCCATTATGCCAGTAGAAATAAGGAAGATAGACATGTGCTAGCATCTATTGCCTAGAGCAGAAATATTCCGCTTAAAACTCCTGTTGAAGATGATCTCCAGAAAGTGATAGAAGAAAGAAAGAGTAAACTTATTTTGGAAGATGGTTTGATTAAGCTTCCCGATCCTGTAAAAATATTAGCTGGGTGGGAGAAAAACTACATAAATTTTCTGAATACATCAGTCTCAGATGTAGAAGATTATATAAAACAGTGTAAGTATTTATTACTATAGTAGGCCTACTGATATCAGACTCTGGAGACTGAGCCTAATTTCACAACCTTAAACCTAAACCTAAGATAAAATTGTTCCACTTCTATTCCTTCTGTATCCAGTATTATTATTTGATTCTATTCAATTAGAATAGACTTCACAATTATTTATATTTAAGTGAAAACAAAATGTATGAACTGGCAATTAACAAAACGTGTGTTGCTCCAAAGAGCACTCATGTGAGTTACATGATGCCTACAGTGTTTTGCTTACCTGATTAACATGATTGGGGACTGGGGTATTAAGCAATCAATCACTTCGGTAGATTGATTCACCTCGTATAAATAGGTCCCGCCTCTTGGCTTGTCTTGTGTGCAAACATATAAATAAAGAACAAAGCAGGTGTGTCTAGTTTACACTCATGCAAGTTCGTGATTTATTTCCTCAATAAACTACTCTAAGATGTATTATAGATGTATATGTATAAGCTGAATTAATTTTACAGGTGCTGAGAACCATAATGTTCCGACGAAAGGATCAAAATCAACAGGAGAAAGTTTATACTTATCTGGACATGTTACTGGAGTTGAATACCATCGAATCAGTCCAATTATATCTTACTGCTATGTAAAGGCTATTGTTGCTCGACAAAAGGCACACCATATAGTGTATGGACAGTCCTTCAGAAGAGAACGGGAAAAGTGGAAAGAGCTAACTGCAATTGTCCAGCAGGTCTACGAGGGTATTGCAAACATTGCGTTATCTTGTTGCACTTTATTGTTAGGCAAATAGAGTCGGGATGCAAGCATGTACATCCCAAACAAACCACATGTTCAAGGAAAAAGGGTTACACAACCTGACTTAAGAAACCTTGTTGTGAAAAAGGTTACAGGTAGGTTTGATACTTCACAAGAAGATTTTCAAACTCGTGGATAAAAGTCTCGCTTCACATTTGAACCCAGAGCATTCTGCTACTGCTAACACTATTAATATGTATTAATTGACTCATAGTTATAAAACATTATATAGGGTTGGTCAGGTAGGGTTGTGTTTTAATACCTCTAACTTTATATATATATATACAGTTGATTTTAAAGATGATAAATACATGCAAGTCAAAAATAGAAAAGTCAAATACATGTGTATATACTTTTGATTTTTACTTTATGCACTGTTGATGAAATTTGAAAATAAAATAGGTTTGTAGTTATATTATGTACATATAAAATTTATTATATTGTATTACCATATTCATTTCAACAGGTATATTAATATCTTATTCTAATTTCAAATTGATTCTTCTTGGTTTAGATTTAATTGATATTGTTTTAAATTGTACTTATTTTGTACTTTTGTGTCATTTAGTTGCAATATTGATGTCAATAAGATATGTTAAAAAAAAAGTAAGGGAGACAGCAATTTGGTGATTTGATATTTCGAATAATGACAAGTGTGAGATAGTATGGTACATGAATTTCAAAAAGTTCCTATGACGGTTAAGCCTTTTAATTTGCTGTTTAACTTTGGTAAGTTTCAGCTTCCATAAAAAAAAGTTATATTTTAAATGGGCCACAGTACAAAGACTAAGAGAGTTGGACACATAGGTGTTTGCGAAATTGAAAGAATTCTTATGTGTATTTGACATAAAAAAAAATTAAGTTATTTTAACAATATTTCAGTTAGAAATAATTCAGATTTCATATCGGGTCGATTTGCCCGGTCGAAAAGGATTACAAAATCGGATTTAAATAGTACACAATAACGCGATTTAGCTCTAGTAAATTAATGCTCGGGTGTCCTTATGATGTGGTCTACGTCATCAATTTTGATCTTTGTCTTTGATTATCCAGATAAATATTCTCGATTAAAAAGAAGTCAACTTTCAAGAATGGTCAGAAGTGAACAAAATATTTCACCTGACAAAAAGTTTCCAAAGAGAAATTAAAAAGCACATAGTCTTTGAAAAGAATCAAATGAAATTGATGGAATCCATAAGCTTTCCACCTATGCCAGACAATAATGATCAGTCGACGGTAGCAATCTTTTGTTTGCACACTTTGACTTTACAAGTTTACTTTTCCTGATGATGACTGATGTCGATGTGATAGTTCATACTGGTAGCCAACTTACTAGGCTAACTGAACTGGCATCTGTTTTGTTCTTCCTTCATGCCTGTCGTTTATCAGCATTAAACTGTTTCTTTATCCAAAGGCTCATAACTCCTGTTTCTGCTACAAAAAAAAAACTGTCATTGTGCCTATTAAGACATTGGTAAAGTGTAATTTCACTGTTCCTTGACTTCAAGACTTTACATTATTGGCAGCAATTACCATTATTGTCACACAACCTTTTAAGAGTTGATATTGAATTTGTCGGTGTTACCATGAAATGTTGACCCTTTGAGATGCTTTTTGACTTGTCCTATGACGGTACCAAAATGGGATGAAATAGATTAGGACCATTGCCATACATAGTAGAAATCATAATGAAAATGGACAGGTATCGCTCCTGCCTAATAGCCTTTGCTTACACTTTGAAAGCCATTTGATTTTGAATAAGCTTATTATTTTATTTTGTAGGACTGGGCCTATGCTATGAGAAGGGATATGCAGGTATGTTAACAGTTGGTACCAAGAACTATTTTTCATTTTTAAAGTAAACGTACTTAGTAATGTGCGTTATCTATTTCGAGTGTGCATATACTAGAAAACTATTTCAAATGAACTCTGATGTCTGCTTTATTAGATTTCAAATAATTATACTTGCAATTGATATTTTTAGGAAATAATTCCAGGGTTATATTTGGGACCATATAGTGCTGCTATGAAATCAAAGGCAAGTGGAAAACTCACAATAAGCTTATACATGTACCTTTCCTGCTATATGTACATGATTCTGTCTTTTGGCAAATGCATAGACATGTGAATGAAGTGACCAGAGATCTATTTTACAAGCAGACTTAATGTTTATGCAGACATAGTTATATGATTATTCATAATTTCAAATTTATAAAACTTTTGTTCAGTTCCTTTTCAGAGCTCTTTTCACAATTAAAGTTAATTTTTCTTTTGAAATATTTTAGCTTGGTGTTCTAATCAGTAAAAGAATAACACACATTGTTTGTATCAGACAAAATATCGAGGCACATTTTGTCCGTCCAAACTTTCTTGAACATTTTAGGTAAGTTATAGAATATTAGAACAGCAATCTCATAGCAAATTTAGGATAAAAATTTGGATTTCTTGACAAGTTGATTTGATTAAAATACAGTTCTCTTTATGTCGTTTTGTGTTTTTTCTTAGGGCTACTTCATTTGTAATCTAATTCACTTTTCAGGTATTTAGTGTTAGATATAGCTGATCTAGTGACAGAGAATATTATTCAACATTTTCCAAAGGTACAAGTTGAATCATTAAAAGTTGATCAGTATTATCATGGTTTCAATTATTAAATGGATCAAGAATCTTGCTTTTACATAAAACGTAACTAGAACAAATATGATATGATAGAAGTTGTCGGGCCAATGAAGCACTGAAGTTTACGATATGACCTGCATTGATGGGGAAAAAGGGATTAAAGCACCAAAGGCACTAAAACAATTTCTTCCAGAATTAAAGCCAGAACATAATGAGATAATGAGCAACAGGGCTTTGAACTAATGAAATTGTAATTATACCAGGATCAAAACCTGAACTGTTTAATTAATAAGCCACTCATCTCCCATCCAAAGAAATTGTTAAGATTGAATATGAATTTCATTTTTAAGGTTAAAGAATTTATAGATGACTGTTTACAAAATGGTGGTCAGGTTCTTGTACATGGAAATGCAGGCATTTCTAGAAGGTCAGTAATTAATTTGAGAATTTTTTCGAATTTGAGTGCATTGCAGCTATTAGAACAGTTGTTGCCCTTGTCTCAGAATACTTAAAATCTTTACTTGCTGAGGTTGATTTATCCTGTAACAGACAGTAAGCAAGTAGAAAAACTAGATGATTAATTTTGATTTTGAAAAGTGATACAGGTAGATTAATTCAAATCTTATAAGCTGTTGACATAAGTTATCTATTTAATATTGTCAAAAAACAAACACAAGGCATGACCCAATCCAGTCAAATTAACATCTTAGAGTAACTGCCTTTTTTCTGTCTTTCACACAATCTGTTTGACTTTATTATTTTAGTGCATCATTAGTCATAGCTTATATCATGGAAAAGTTTGGTGTAAATTATAGGTATGTATAGTATTTTATCATTTGAATAATCGTATACTGATCTAAATTATAAATTTTGGAATATTTGGGCCCATAACATTACAACTTTTTAATGTGCACAAAATTATAAAAGTTCTTCTGGAAACCAAACAACAATACTACCGTTATATTTTCAGAGAAGCATTTTTATTTGTTCAACAAAGAAGATTTTGCATTAATCCAAATGAAGGTTTTGCTCAACAATTAATTGTAAGTTTGCTTCATATATTTTAATCAGTTGTCACTATATTATAAAATGATATGTATACCAGTATAGTAACCTATGCCTTATTCATCAGTGAGTCTCATACACCACAACCCCATGATTTGAAGCAAAGATTAAAAGGTTGTCTTGTGTTACTATTGGAAATGACTGAGTTATTTTGGTTAAGTAGCCCAGGCCATTTTTTAGGTATTGCACAAAGGGTTAGCAGTTATCTATGTAACTGTCCCTCGCCTACATTTCACAATTTGTTATCCAGGATCTGTGTGTGTGAGAGCAGATATGTAAATGAGAGAATATTGAAACCAATTATATATAACAAAATTATCAAATGATTTTTTCCAGGAATATGAACCTATATATAAAGCTAAGTTATTTTTACCAAATGGATATAACAATATGGGTAAGCCACTTGTTTCAGATCCAATCTTTCATTAGTAACACAACTCTGATCTCAGATACATGTCCTTCTCAGAACTTTGAAAAGATCAAATGATGAGTACATTTGGTGGCCCCCAAAAATGATAACACTTTGAAAAAGCAGTATTTTTAAATTCATGGTCAACAAATGCAAAACCTAAAGTAATTATAGAATGGTGTAAGTGATAACTATGAGATGAGCATCCCTGATATTTATCAAATACTTCTATTTCATGCCTATAATTCTAATATTTCAGGAACATGTAAGAGGAAGTCAAGAGATGATGAGGAAGGTGAATCAATGTTAGCACCATGTCCTAAATACTTTCCAACTTGAAACATATCAAATCACCTCCTGATAGTTTGTAACTAGTGAAGTGACCACCGGTCACTGTGTGATGAATCAAATCAAAACCTGTTTATTTTGACTGTTTATTATTCTTATGAAAAAGACCATTAAATGTAAAGATATTTGCTTGCTTGTGTCAGATTGTTTCCTAGACACAATTAGCTTGGACTTTTGAAAGTGAACTGTTCTGTGAAGGTGCAGTAATTGTGGTGGACATTGTTTATATGTGTTTAAGTTTTTTTATTTTTTTTACAACAGTTTGGTTATAACTGACTGGCAAAATTAGTACTCTAAGAAATCAGTTTATTATATAAGTTAAAATTAGACTTCCAAGAAAATTTTACAAAATTACACAAATTAAAATTTACAGTATGTAACGTTAATGCATTACTATTCTTATTTCAAAATCTGTAACACTAAATGTATTGATTTAAAAGTCAGTAACATTAATGTTTTTATTTGTAAAACTGTAGGCCTAATGCATTCTCAAAATCAGTTGCTTTGCTAAAACTGAATTTAAAGATGAAAATATTTTTGATGAAATTCAGTCTGCTTTATCTGTTTTTGTTGATGACTGAAGAATGATGATTGATTAAATTTGTTTTTCAAAAGGAAATTTTCTCTTTTAATTCTATTGTTCAATAATAGATCAACTAAACATTTGTCAGTATATTGGGACCACAACTGCTTCAACTGTTTTGAGGGGAGTGAAGTAGTCCAGCAAGTCATTGGTTACCATGGACTAGCCCACTAGTCCATTGGTTGAAACAGTTTAAGATTATGAAGAAATGCCGCATGGATTATATCAATGATATACAATTTCAGCCCAGTATATTCCTAGATCAAATAATGCCCATAACCTGACAAAGACGTGTCATTAATGTTGAATGGATATCTCTTATATTTAATGAGATAGCAGTTTTCAATATTTTGGCAGTGTCCCTTTAAATTTTCTACTTGCAATTTATAAAGTTTTGGAAAAAACGATGGCCCGAATGAACATATTCCCGCCATAATTTACAGTGGTGCCAGAGTGTCCACATTGATTAATATTTCAGCATTGACAATCATGGGATTGTTTGCTTGATTATTATTGCTTTTCGTTTTCATTAAATATCATCCAAAGTGGAATAGTCATATGCTAATAATTTATTTCTCTTGGATTCTTTTTACAAGGGTTTTACATCCTGGCAACACGGTTGTATAGTTTAATTTCCGGTGTATATCGACAAGGTCCCTCGAAAGTCAAAAATGGCATCGCTCTCCGCTATACCTATCATAAATGGACAAAATGGGGATAGCCAGGCGAAGAAGCCTAAGTTATCTGATGATAATCGTGTAACTGTTGTGTTGGGAACTCAATGGGGCGATGAAGGTAAAGGTAAAGTTGTGGACTTGTTAGCTGCGAAAGCGGATGTAGTGTGCAGGTGCCAGGTAATTAAAAAATAAAACGTTTTTACTATTTTTTCGCATTTAAAGGGACATGTCGACTTATTCACTTTGCTTCAACAAGATTGTCACTTCTTTTGACTGGCCCCTATTTTTAAACCCAGTACTGGTTTTTAAATAAGATTTTTGATAGGGAAAAAGAATATTACTGCATGTATGTTGTAAAAATAGATTGTGTCAGTGATAGTGATGCCATGTTGGTAATTCTAATTTGTAGGGAGGTAATAATGCAGGCCATAGTGTTCACATTGGAGAGAAAGAATATGCTTTTCATTTGTTGCCAAGTGGTATAGTAAATCCAGACTGTACTGCTGTCATTGGTAAGTACATTAATCCATGAGAGTTGAGACAAATCAAGGACTAAGGAATAGTCATCATAATGAAATCATAATGTTCCTTTAATACAATGCATTGTATTGTGGGTCATGGAGTCAATTTGCCCTTGATTTTGGCGTTAAATGAATTTAGTAATTAACAACCAGGCCACTGTACTTATGATCATTAGTGTAGATGGCTATTGTTTTGTTTATTTAGCATTTTAACAACTTTATCAAAAATCTACTTAAAAGAAGCAATTGATATTCTCTCTAAAATAACAATCAGAATTACTCATCTTCATTCAATTATTATGCAACTTTGGAATGTTTGATGGCTAAATTACCGTATATATGCATAAAAAATATTACTTGTTTTTAAGGCAATGGGGTTGTTGTACATGTACCAAATCTTTATGAAGAGGTTAAAAAGAATGAAAAGCATGGATTGCCTGATTGGAAAAATCGACTTCTCATATCAAACAGAGCACATTTAGGTAAGATGGCACTGTCCTCTAGTGACAGCTATTTTAATCATTTCATTAATTATGCAGAAAAATTCAAGTAATTAAAAATAAATTTTTAATTTAGGACGGAATGAAACAAATAGCTGACATGAAAGATTTGGTTAGTTGAATTCTAAAATAAACTTTCAACAAAAGCATACCATTCCATGTTTTTTAGGGCAGACAAAAAAAGATTTTCTCTAAGTTACTTTGTATGTGCATAATCTTGATGTAAAGATGTTGTGGCAAATCCCCTCATTGCATACTGTGATGCATTTCTGATTTCCATCAGCTTATTAAAAATTCTTTTTTATTTCCCATATTTCAATTCCTTTTTTAGTTGAGAAACCATGTTCAACAAATTTCCGATTCAGCACAATTCTGTTATTTACCTTTATATTATTTCTAGTTTTTGATATGCATCAACAAGTGGATGGGTTACAGGAATCAGGAAGAGGCAAAAATTTGTGAGTTCTTATGTTAAAAATGTTTTAATTGCTAATATTGGTTCTTGCAATTCACTAAAACTGAAAAAATAATAAAGTATTTGCTTGTTTTTTGTCATTACTATCATGGGTAAAATTTGGCTCAAACCCATTAAGATAAGGCTGATATTTCCTTGTTATACCTGATTATGATGTTAGTATGTTTATAAGTAGGACAATAATAAGTACCAATACTGATACTAATAGATTACTAATGTATTAATTAGTGGTATTTTAGTAAATATGTGTCTATTATGTAAGTAAGAAGAGTAACACTTGGCAAGTTTCCAGCTAGTGGTTTTGTAATGCAAACAGTAGTTCAATTGGCATTGATACTATTATTAAAGGGATTGTAAGAGGTTTTCTAAACTTTTTTTGTGTATCAATATCACTGACAGTATTGATATGCACCATTTCAATAGTGATTCAATTTATGGCATCACTTAATGCTGATTATGATATCCAAGGGCTTTTATGATAGTGATGTTATAAAACAGAATTGAAAGAACCACAGATGTCTGACTGAATATTGGAATGGTTTATATTGATTCTATCAGTGTCCGTGATACACATAAAAATTACAATATTTATCAGATCAGGTATCAAACTAATCAAGCTATCAAAGGGGCTGAGTGGTAAATTGTATGTGAATTGCTACCAAATAAGCTTGGCATGAGCTAACTTTGTAAACAATCTGTTCAAAAAATGTGATTCACCAAAAGTCCAAAAATTGATGAATAGATAGTTATTGTACATTTTCAAGTTGAACAAAATGTTTAATAAAGGCAGATTTTGTCTTGGCTTGCCCTTTGATAGAAATTGACTGTATGCCAAGATGTCACTACATATCAACTAAATATGTGACTTTTTACTTTCAAAAAATCATAATGCCCCTTTAATATACCCTTGACTTTGAGTAATGTCATAAGAACAGGCTTTAAAAAATGCTATAAAAATCCCTGAAAATGCTAAAAATAAACCAACAATGCTCATGTAACAATAACAATGCATAAAATCAATCAAGTTTTCTATTGTAAAATGTATTGTGTTAATCAAAAAGATAAAAAGATTACATTTGATTTAGTTTTATTGATTTGTTTGTAATTCTGATAAAGCAACAAGCTGTTTATTAGTTACTAAACAATGTCTTTCTTCACTAGACTGGACTATTTAACCTGATATATAGTTAGATATCTTTAATGAGCTTAAAAGGATACTACCTCTTAGAATGGACATAAAATTTAAAGCCTCAAACTTGATCAACATAATGCATTCATCAGTTGTACTTACCAGGTACCATGACTAAAGAATAGAATCTCTATATAAGACTCACTTCTAAACATGTTTCAAAATTACTTAGTTGAATGAATTATTACTTAGTTTTATGGATTTATTGTGTTATAGTGCGATTCTTTTGTATAGTTATGACACTATGATGAACAAAGACGCATTTTAATTTAACCAAATTAAAAATTTCAATTTTTTGGTCATTCTTAAAGGTAGTATACCTTTAAAGTACAATTGTCTAAAATCTACAACCAAAATCAGTGTTCAAATGTCAAGTAACTCAATCAAGAGCATCGAAAAAAGCAACCCAGAGCAAGTTTGGCTTTATTGCTACCATAATTGTATGAAGTATTGTCCATTATAAACATAAAACAATGAGATAATATATAATTGTATTTTTTGTAGTTACAATTAACAATGGAGACCGTGTTCAGTAGAGCCTAAACATTATTTCTTCACTGTTGCTTTGGGCCTTGGTCTTACATTGCAATTCACAAGCTATTTTGATTCTTTAGAGTCAAACCTCGGATCACAGAAATCTATTCCATTATCAATTTGACCTTAAGTACAATGAAGATATCATAATCATGAGCTATCAGAATTGAGTTACTATTGTTGTTCCATTCCATTTACATTTATTAGTCCATAAGATTATTTGTTCATATTTTTTAAAACATAGGATTGGTACAACTAAAAAAGGCATTGGCCCGACTTATTCCTCTAAGGTAAATATTTTTGTCTTGACTCGTGTTTGTTCAAATTCCATTTAATTATTTAGGATCTGGATTTTGTAATATGAAAAAGCTAGAAAAGAATATAACAGTTTTGAAGATTAATACAAAATCAAAAGCATTGACATTCTATTGATGTTGTAGGTAACAAGAAATGGATTACGGATGTGTGACTTAGTTGGAGATTTTGAAATTTTCAAAGCGAAGTAAGTATATTGAGATTTTTGTTGTCCAATCTAAACTATATTTTGCATCTTGTTACCATGACAACACAGGTAAAGTGTGTTTTATTAGATTCCTAACACCCCATAAAGGGATGTCAGAACAACCTTTTCCTATATGTTATTACAGATTCCAAAATTTGGTTGATTACCATAAGAGAATTTTCCCAGATTTAAGTGTAGACGTGGAGTCTGAGTTAAAGAGATATGAAGTAAGTGTGTGACACATTTCACTGGAACTTGTAGTAATACACTGACCACAGATAGATAATTGCATTAGCAGATAGAACTTGATTTTGACTATCTTTAACTCTTTTCACAATAAAAAATATCAATATATGGTATGTCTACAACATGATAAAAGTGACAACAGTTTTAGCATCAAGTATTTTCATGAAATATTATCACTGATGAACAATCAGAAAATTTACACTGCCATCAATTCTGATATCACAATTTTAAACACAAAGTCAGATTTTCTGCCTCATCAGGAGATGTTCCTTTAATTTAAATGTTCTTGAATATGAATGTTCTTAAATTGGAATGTTCTTAAATCCATAGAAAATTTTAGTACCTGCGTATAATGTGTTCATACTTTGCCTTGAAATGTAGAGAAACTTTGAAGTATATAAGTGCACAATCTAATATTTGGATTCTTGATATTTCCACTTTGATTCTTGTATTTATCATTTATCTGATACAATATGAATAGAATTATATCTTGTTGCAACTGAAATTTGAATGAAAGTTATTGTTTGTTACAGGCCTATCGTAATGAAATCCAGCCATTAGTAACAGATACTATTAGTTATCTGTATACAGCTATACGAAATGGTAAAAATATATTGATAGAAGGTGCTCAGTCAGCCATATTAGATATTGATTTTGGTTAGCATTTATTATTCATTCTTCAGTATGGATTTTATCGGTTTTTGAAACAAAATGTTGTTTTGTTCTATCCAGAAATAAATAGTTAATAAAAAAAAAACATAAAGGCTAACAATGGTTGGTTGGTAGATGACAAGTTAAAATTAATGTCTATCAAAAACAAACCTGTTTTAAATAGCATGAAAAAACCCATCTGTTTCAAATGATTAGTTACTTTTTAAATTGTTTACATGATCTTTTCTGGACAAAAATATGATGATATATCATATCATGATAATTACAGATATTCACGATATTTTGTTAGTTTTAAATGAGGCGTTAATAAAAACGATATAAATATTATTATGATACCAGTATATCATCCATCTCTATCTGAAATGTTACAACAAACCTATGTATATTACTATATTACAGGCTTATATCCATATGTGACTTCCTCTAACTGTACAGCTGGTGGTGTATGTACTGGATTAGGTATACCACCAAGGAGTATAGGTGATATTTATGGTGTAGTTAAAGCTTATCTAACACGAGTTGGTACCGGTGGTTTCCCTACTGAACAGTCTAATGTGAGTCTTAATCATCCATATTTAAACACTTGCCTCCATCAGACACACGCTTGGAAGTATTGGCCTTGTCATCAGATTTTTTTCTTACCTTGAGAGAGAATTCTAACACAGGCAGACGACAACCTAACTGGCTTCCAACTGAGCAAATCCACTGCCACTTAGATTATGAGTGATTGATAAATTCAGAATATATCCCATGTTTTAGGGTATGAAATTTCCATTGTAGAAAGCATGGCTCTAAATATTCTTGGACACAAGAAATGTTATGGATTTGTTTGAAGTCCATGTGAAACAATCCATGAATGCAGAAAAGTGTCAATGAAACTGCTTCTGAATAAACCAGCATTATGTTAATAAGATACAGATATTACTTCCCTTGAAGATTAAGCATGTATTTTATTTCTATGTTTGTAGGAAATTGGTAATGTATTATTAACCAAAGGAGCAGAATTTGGTGTAACGACAGGTAGACCTAGAAGATGTGGCTGGTTAGATATGATGATGTTAAAATATGCTAATATGATCAATGGTTTCACAGCGTAGGTATTTGCGTTTATAACTCTGAATTATATCGTTATAATGAACAAACTTGTTTGCTTTAAACAAGGCAGTTTCAAGAGTAGTCGGAAATAGCATTTGAATGAATTTCAATAATTATCAAGGTTCTGCTTGACAGAAATGCAATGCACACAATTAAAAATACATGTACTAGGGTTAAATGAGAGTTTGTCCACCTGATGTCAAATAAAATAACTAAAGCCTATGGTCTTTAAAGATAGCAGTAAATTGAAACTTGGGTTTCTTTTAGGTTGGCAATAACAAAACTAGACATTTTAGATGATTTTAAAGAAATAAAGATTGGTGTATCATATCATATAGATGGGAAAAAAATAGAAACTTTTCCTGGTAAGTATTTAATGGATAATTGAATTAAGATTGAAATATTTTTTAATTAGAATTGAAACATTGAATATTATAGCATTATTATTGAATCTGTATTGAAATTTTATTGAATAAGACTTGAAATATTATTGAATTAGGATTGAAATATTATTGAATTAATATTGAATGACATATTATTGAATTAATATTGAATGACATATTATTGAATTAAGATTGACATATTTAATTTGATTTATTCCACTATGAATTGTAGCCTGTGATGAAGTATTACAGAAAGTGAAAGTAGAATATTTAACGTTACCAGGGTGGGAAACCAGTACAGAAAATATCAGAAAGTTTAATGATCTACCTCCTAATGCCCAGAGATACATTAAAACTATTGAAAGTCTGGTTGGCGTTCAAGGTATAGTGTTACTTCCATTTATATTAGATTTTAAGAAGAAAACTATAAGTTTGGCAGTGCTATGAATTCATATTTTCCTGTAGTCGACTATTTGACTTTTGGATATTACTAAACTGTGGGTCTAGGGCAATCCCTTGTCATAAGTTTTGCCTTGTCAGTGATGGAAGTCAGAAGCAGAAGGAGAAGCATGTGATCGTTCAGACAGAAAAATTAGCTGAGCTGTGCACATTCTACATCCCTCGACAGTTTAAAAAATTATTTAAGAAAAATTCCAATTATTTCATACTGCATTGAAATGCCTGTTTTCATTAGAATAAGCCCAAATTGCGTGCAGCAAAGTAGCAACCTGTACAATATATAACAATTCATCATCGTTGTCAACTTTTCTAAAGGATTCACCATCAGTGCAGTTGTGTTAAAATTGCTTTAATTTGAATTTTTCCTGAATTATTTCAGTACGATGGGTTGGTGTTGGTAAAGATAGACATTCTATGATAGAAATATAAACCAATGATACCAGTAACTGCTGACTAACTGTATTATATTAATACCATTTCTACATTCTTTTCACATACACATTTATCTAACATTGACTCTTTTTCAAGCATTTAGGCGAGGTAATCTACAATAACAGACTAGTAAATATTAAATGAACCTGGAGATTGATTATATTATATAATTTGTTCATTTAACACAATTTAGTATACAGTTTTATTAACATGTTTTAAAAAAACCAAGGGACTGACATGACAAATGATTTTGGAAGATTAGAAATTTGTAGATATACATGTAGTTAATACTGATGATGTTTGTCCAAGTAACTTAATTTGACACAGTTCACCAATCACAAAAATCATGACAATGAAATTATTCTTATAAATTTTATAAATTAGGTTCAATTAACAATTGATTGCCTTACCGAAATGATAAAAATAATTTGATCATGAACTTTTTTTATATTTTAAAATGAACTTGGTATTTACATGAATTGAGGGTAATTTTTCATCTTTCCTTTTCCATTGTTTCATTTGATTCCATATATTCCATGACATTGGCAGTTTTGCGATGGAGAATAGGCTACCCTTGTAGGCAATCTAATTAGAACTTCGTCTCATTATTATGTTTTTGTCGGTCTCCATTGTAATTTAACAAGCTTTAAACCAAGGTCACGTACTTGTGATGTTTCAAACTATTTATAGCACAACCACCAATCAGAATTACTTTTACAAGCGAGTATTGTAATCTCATAATCTCATAAATAACATCGCTCTACTTTGTGATTCGCTGTTCCACAATTCTTAGATTCACAGATTCTGCATGATGCATTATGATCGGTCAAAAGTAAGCAACCTTAGTTTAAATCTTTTCAAATTGCAATGGAAACTGACAGAAAGTAAAAAAACTGTAATCAAATTTTAATTAGATTGTCATTGTAGGTAGCTGTGAAATATCTGAGCGCCCCTGTCTTGCATTCTTCATACAAGTACTAATAAAGTTATCCTTCATACCTTATAGGAGCTTGCTACCAAACATAACTGTAAACTCTACCAGCTTTATGATCAGATGATCTGATTGGTTTTTTATATTGATAAACTCTACCAGATTTATGATCAGATGATCTGATTGGTTAGTTATATTGATAAACTCTACCAGCTTTATGATCAGATGATTTGATTGGTTAGTTATATTGATAAACTCTACCATCTTTATGATCAGATGATCTGATTGGTTAGTTATATTGATAAACTCTACCAGCTTTATGATCAGATGATCTGATTGGTTAGTTATATTGATAAACTCTACCATCTTTATGATCAGATGATCTGATTGGTTAGTTATATTGATAAACTCTACCAGCTTTATGATCAGATGATCTGATTGGTTAGTTATATCGATAAACTCTACCAGATTTATGATCAAATGATCTGATTGGTAAGTTATATTGAGAAAACCCTACCAGCTTTATGATCAGATGATCTGATTGGTTAGTTATATTGATAAACTCTACCAGCTTTATGATCAAATGGTCTGATTGGTTAGTTATTTTGATAACTAAAGATTGATTTATTTTGAAGAATCATATTTCAGATACATCAATTATAGTCAAGCAAAAATATTTGTGCACATTCAGTTCCGATTCGAAAATCACTCAGTCCACTAAGATTAAGGTATTTAAGTGGTCAAACAGTAAGTGTTTCTGGTAATGTTTTAAATCAGACCTATATGTTCGCAAATATTTTTGCTCGACTATAGCCCACTATTATTGCATTAAAGTTTTACTGAGAATTGGTTATCACAATTTTTCATGTTCATTGTGAAATATCCATTTGTAGTTTGAAGTGCTGGATAGTTTTAGTGTATATTATATTTTCAAACAGGTTTAAGGTTTTGCTTGCCTAACTCTATATTTTTATAGCAGGCCAAACTTGTGCACTCTTCAGAAGTAAAAAAATAATGAAATTTTGCTTAATGTCTTTGAAATTGTCAAAAAATCTTGTATTTTCATAACATACTTCAAAAGCGTGCTTATATTTTTTAAAATTAAAGCTAAATGTACATGTGATCAGATATAGAATTAGGCTAGAAATTGAATATACAGTATTTTTAAATGAACAGTATTCTTTCATTGTAAAATTGTCATGAAAGTTGAAATTCAGTAGGCCAATCTTTCATAACATGGTATTTTTAGAGGCACTTAGTAATTGGATAAATGAAAATGATTATTTATGCAAGTATTTAGAGTGATTATAACAGAAAAATTTGGCTTTGTCTGAAGTGGCATTCTATTGGGTATCTGTTTTTAAAGATATAGTCCTCCACTTATATGATTTGTTATCTATTGTATAAGCAAACAGTTGCAAACAATTTTGGATAAGGGGCATTAAAAATCTTAAAGGGTAAGCTTTAAAAATTTTTTTAAATGTATAAAGTAGAGAATTTCTAGTCTTTGTATGTGTATTAGAGACAGTTATAGCGTTTATTTGAACTGGTGCAATTATGACAATGGTTTTGAGATTGCAACTTCATAATCTGATTCAGCTGATCTACAATTACAGGCTTTGGACAGATAAAGGGAATAGTGCTTATAGAATCTATAATTGACCCTGATACACATACGAAAGCAAGAAAACCTTACTAAGGTTTCAAATTTTTGTTTAAAGTGGCAGCTACTAATACCATAATTTAGGCTATATTGGCAGCTCTTTATTTACACAAAATAATAATGTAATACATGTAATTTGATTTTTTTGATTTTACATCTATTTGATATGGAGCTATGTCATTTATGGTTCCAATTAATTTGGTCTGATTTTGATATGAAAGTCTAAGCAATATAATTGCTATTATTAATGGGCATATATATAATTGCTTTTAAACTGCAAATCATTATTTTTATCCCTTGCCTCTTTTATTATGATTCTCATGAGTTGTGTGCATTATTAGTTTACTTGTATATCAAATTTACTTTTTGTAAAAATGTATGATTTTTTTTTCAAGATGTGTATTTAACCTATTTATGGGCTTGTTTTGTCAATTTTAATTTTTTACTTGCAATTAGACCAATTCTGTGTGACCTTTAAAATTAATTCTTGCTAAGAAAATGATCTGATATACATACTCTATTGATTAGAACTTAATTATGAGAATTTCTGGGGTAATTCTTAAGGGTTTCAATTGTGTAATGGATCTCCAGTATCTCAATATATTTGGAATACAGAAACCACATGAGTTTTTCAGAATGGTGTAATGGTTAACATATTGTGTACAAGTATTCTTTTGAAACCTTGTACTGTACTTGCATTATTAGTTTTAAGGTTCTAATATATGCTTCATCAAGTAAAAACATTACTGTGTCAATCATAAAACTGTTCGCTTTAAAGGCTTAGATCACTATATTTTCATGCAAGTGAGGACTTGATTTCAGCATTCAAATATTTGAAAACACTGCCAGAATTCCAATCTTAAAGAACAGAATTGAGTCATCATGACTTAAGTCAAATTAACATGCAGTTGCAGGATAAGGGAATTCCATTATAATTCCTTTGGAATTCCAGGATTCTGACATGCTATTGTCATTGGGAAGAACTCAACTCGCTATTAACTTGGAATTTAGCCTGGCATTACCTTTCACTCTTATCAAACTATATATTTTGATATGTCTGTATTGATATTTTTACCTTGTAAATAAATGGATTTCTTTGGGAAAATTTTGATGTTCAGATTAATTCAACCTGTAGGTGTACCTCACTGTGCCCAATTTCTTTAAAAACTATAAAAATATTTACAACCCATTTGTATCCCCACTTTTCGACGAATTTAAATATATGATTTTGTATACGCTTTTTGCTCCAAAATATGTGCTAGAATGCACCAAATCAATCCCAATTTGTTTTGGAACCGACCGTGAGAGGCTTGCGGCCTGCCCCTTATTTGTACCCCAGTTACGGGAGGCGGTCTGTTTTATTTGCAGTTAAGTCAATCAATCAAGGTAGTAATATTAATTAGTGAAGATGATAACCTTATTAATACAGCGGCCATCGGCAGAGTGACGATTAAGTGATACGAGGCGACCGAATTTTCGCTAAGAGTTGAAACATTTCTTTCACATTTGATATGCGTGATAAATTTCCGTTTATATACCAAAAAAAAGCGAAAAAACAACATCTGCGTGTTCAATTTCAGTTATTCTTTCTTTCAACAGCTTGTCATTTTGAAAGCACCGTTGAGTCGGGTATATTTCTGTTTTTTTAAGTCTTAGTCTTACATTTCCACTCAACTGTAGGATCACTGTCTAGTCATAGCACTATTCAGCTTGCATCATATTAATGAATTGAAAATGTTCTGGTGGTAAGGTCCCAGCTTCTCGAGCTTGTGATGCCATTCCCCAATACACGATTCTGACTTCCTTGAGAATTGATATCAAAACGGACTCATATCTGGCTCAAACATAATTAATCATGTTAAGGCTTGTCTAAACAGACTAACTCATACACATTCTAAACAAACATACATACTCACGATACGCATACCAAGTCTTAATAGACTTACTCATACCTAGTCCAAACAGAATTTCTCAAACCCAATCAAAACAGACTGAGACCTAGTCCAAACCTAATTTACTCATACCCAGTTCAAACTGACTTATCCATACTTATTCCAAATATACTCACATCTAGTCAAAACATACTTACTAATACCTACTCCAAAAATACTTATCCATATTTACTCCAAATAAACTTACATCTAGTCCAAACATACTTACTAATACCTACTCCAAAATACTTATCCATACTTACTCCAAATAGATTTACATCTACTCCAAACATACTAATACCTACTCCAAAAATACTTATCCATATTTACTCCAAATAAACTTACATCTAGTCCAAACATACTTACTAATACCTACTCCAAAATACTTATCCATACTTACTCCAAATAGATTTACATCTACTCCAAACATACTAATATCTACTCCAAAAATACTTATCCATACTTACTCCAAATAGACTTACATCTTGTCCAAACATACTTACTAATACCTACTCCAAACATACTTATCCATACTTACTCCAAATAGACTTACATCTAGTCCAAACATACTTACTAATATCTAATCCAAAAATACTTATCCATACTTACTCCAAATAGACTTACATCTAGTCCAAACATACTTACTAATACCTACTCCAAAAATACTTATCCATACTTACTCCAAATAGACTTACATCTACTCCAAACATACTTACTAATATCTAATCCAAAAATACTTATCCATACTTACTCCAAATAGACTTACATCTACTCCAAACATACTTACTAATACCTACATCTAGTCCAAACATACTAATACCTACTCCAAACATACTTATCCATACTTACTCCAAATAGACTTACATCTACTCCAAACATACTAATATCTACTCCAAAAATACTTATCCATACTTACTCCAAATAGACTTACATCTACTCCAAACATACTTACTAATATCTACTCCAAAAATACTTATCCATACTTACTCCAAATAGACTTACATCTACTCCAAACATACTTACTAATATCTAATCCAAAAATACTTATCCATACTTACTCCAAATAGACTTACATCTACTCCAAACATACTTACTAATACCTACTCCAAAAATACTTATCCATACTTACTCCAAATAGACTTACATCTAGTCCAAACATACTTACTAATACCTAATCCAAAAATACTTATCCATACTTACTCCAAATAGACTTACATCTACACCAAACATACTTACTAATACCTAATCCAAAAATACTTATCCATACTTACTCCAAATAGACTTACATCTACTCCAGATATTTATTGATGCAAATAGAAGCTATCGGTGTCTCCGTTACAAAGGTCAGAAAACATTAACCGAAGTAAACCGAGGGGTAAATTATGTTCAGGCTTCACTGCACATCAATATTCGGTCCTGTTTGCGAAGTAGAGTGACCAGATATATGGCTCTATTGAGTTTACAGCCTACAGGTATAGCCTTTGCTCGAATCTACAAGTTTTTAAGTCTGGCTAGTAAACAAGTTCAGTCACTCAAATCAATAGATAGTTATATAGTGCATATAATATAGGACTAGGCCAACATATCGCATATTAGACTTAATGGGACGTATTGAAAAAATCAATTATTACCACATTTCCATTAAGAAGTGTGAAAAGCAGCGCAAAATTTCACAGGAACATCTCGGAATACGTCGTCTGGTGGTGTAAACGGTAACGATTTGAATGGATATAATTTGGCATTTGAAGGACAACAAAGTATTTACTAACGCCAAGCACACCAACAATGCCTGGTTCAATCGAATCATCTGATAACAACGAGGACGATATAACCAATATATACGATAATGAAGGAATTGAACAGGATTCTGACGTGCAAATGATTAATATCGCTGATGGTGATTTCGGGAATCCAAATAATGGTAGTGATGACGAACTGTTACTTACACCAGAAGAAGATACATCACGGAAAAACTTCAAAAAACCAATCTGGTTCTGTAGATTTGTTGCTGAATGGCCATCCGTTGCTTTTGGTAAGTTGCTTTAGAATGAAATTACTCCGTGCACAAGTGCACTAATTACGAGAGCCTTGGTATAGGTACATGTATACAAGCTCTACTCTTCAAGGGACAGGTGGGCTATTTTGGGGGGTTGTTTTTGATCTTGAGTATATGTAAATAGTCTCCAGTAGTCCAGTACTAGAAATGTACGCAAATCGCAAAATTCCTTTGAAAACACTTTAAACTAGGAATTTTACACACTTTTTCTATATATTATGACTTTTCTATATATCACAGAGTATCTGTGACAAATTGTCATTTTAACATTCAAACGCGGATAATTCTGAACACACATGGTTTTGAAGGCTCAAATTTCGACGGTGAGCTGTGAACACTATTACTGATTGGCTTAACTAAAAAAAATCCAGTTTCTGAGACTAAAGTACGATTGGTCAAAAACATTGGCGCGTATCTGTCCCTTTAAAGATATATATAGTCGTCTAGATATTTGCTTTACCATTTTGAGTTCCATTCGGTTGTGTATATCTTCTTAAATGTTGAAATTATACTCTGATATGAAATGAAACTATCTATGCACCTTCTTCTTCCAGAACAAAAAACTATAAGGGGCTACATCTCTTTTATTTGGAAATAACGATCTTTCAGCAAAAACAATTCCAACTTATTTAAAACAGTCCATAATTTCATCACCATGTCTAAACGTTTTGAGGCTTAACAGTGTGTGTTGCATGCCCCAAACCCCATTTTAAATATATGATATGATTCACGTTCCTTTAACGGCGGTAAATGGTGTCCATATCTAAACATGGACAGTGTTTTTACCGTTGCCGAAGGAACATGGATATAATTGAAATTCTTATCAATAAATCATACCAGTGGATAGACAATATCTCTTTCGTTGTTTATATTATATTATTATTATATTATTTCATGTACATACGCTCAATGTTTTATCATGAATACAACCGAGACGGATTTATATAAGCTCTGCTAGTTTCAGAATCGGTCGTCAGCATAATATGTAAATATACCATTTATGATATGAAAGGAAGAAATATTGTTTAAAACAAATATTAGCCTATAGGTTTTAAGGCCTCGACTACAATCGATTGCAATCGAACAAATTTATACAAATTCTACTTCAATACTTTACTTTTCTAGGATATATTAGGCCTGAATAAACATATCCATATTATAAGACGCTTTCAATTGATTTAAGTAGAGCGAAACGGGAGTTTTTATGACCTAAATCATTAATACTGACCTACTAATTTGACCCAGCTTATAATATTGATTATAGTTTCAAAAAAGTATGTAGGTCAAGATACAGTAGGCCAATCGATCAAAGCCGAGTATATAGGGGTCATTGACCTATGCAGAAGCTATGCTTGTGATTTTCATTACTATAGGGATTATATAAAACATTCTTCGTAGAAGTATATACATCAAAGCATACTACATGTATGTTGCCAATCGTTCAAAGCGCCTAGATAATCGTATAGAACAATAGTGGCTGTAGGAAGTGGGATATGCTACCCCAGCTCGATCCATGACTATCAATTTAAGAAATTGTTTAAACTGTTTAGAACTGGGGTATACACAATGGATTCACTGCCTAAAAAGCACACATATTTTAGAGCAAATATCACGAAATTAAAAAACTCTTATATTGAAATTTTCTATAAATAAAGTTGATAGACAAACTATTCTTCAAATTAATGTTCAACAATGCTCTTGTACCCCCACTCGACTCGCCTCTAATATCACTCGCTATGTACATCATTTTAATTTTTCTTCAGTATAATATTAAAACAAATTTTTTGCTTTCTATAAAATGAATCTATATATATTTCAGGACTTGGAATAGCAGGACATATATTCATAGTCGCCACAACTGTCACCCTTTTGCATCTAGGGTATGACGTATTCCCAACCAATTTTGAAGAATTGCCCGTGAATATGGAGAATCAGCCATGGATCAAGAGAGATTTAGCTTGGAGGCGAAGGGATTCTTATTCCCACAAATTAGTTGGTATAAAATTTCCAGTCGTTGCTACTGGTCAAGATTTTATGGAAATCGTGATCAGTGCCAAATCGGGAAATGTTTTGACGAAATCCATGATGGACGATATGAAAAAATTCGAATCGCAAATTACGTCACTAAAACATTATGATGATTACTGTCATATTCAGCCCTCGTCCAAAAAATGCATTCCACCAAACTCAATTCAAAGGCTTTTTGACGGATCTTTATCGAGTATAGATCCTATTTTCAACGATCCTAATTTTACGAAAATACCACAAGTTCTTTACACCGCTCTGCAAAACAACATAACAAATTTCCACGTGAAGTATGCATTACCTAAAGACACTAATATAACCCAGTCACACGCTTTTGCAGGAATGGTCAGAATGCTTTTGCCATTTGATCATTCAACATTAGTAGCGAAATATGATATGTATTTTCATGAAAGCTTGCATAACTTGACATTATTCTTAAGGGATAAAATAAAACCTTTTCTGGATAATTTTATAAATTCGAATGAACACTTGGAAATATCATATTTCAACAGGCTGTTGTTCACCAAAGTGGTTCAAGATCAAGTCTTTATCGACATAAAATTTACTTTTGGAAGTGTTGCTTTCATTTTCTGTTATATGTGGTTCCATACGGGTACATTATGGGTAACAATTTGGGCTGTGATCAGTATCTTATCAAGTTTTTTAGCCACCAATTTATTTTATAGATATATTTTGGGTTTTCGTTACTTCGGATTTTTTCATGTGCTGTCCTTATTTATTATACTCGGCATCGGTGCTGATGACTTGTTTGTTTTCTTTGATACCTGGAAATCATCAAGTACCACTACTTTTCCGTCTTTAGCACATAGACTGTCCACTACATACCGAAAGTCGGCAGTGAGCATGCTGGTTACGTCATTGACTACCATGGTGGCTTTTGCGTCTACTGCATCTTCGCATCTTTTGATAATGAAATCATTTGGAGTATTTTCTGCTGTGTTAATCATAATTGATTATATATCGGTCATTGTATTTTTTCCTACGGTTGTTATGTTCTATCATGTGAAAATACGAAAATGGTGGCATAGGTTGTGTTCCATTTTACCAAAGATCAGGAGAAATACAAGTAATTCAACCAACTGTTTACAATCAAGACATCAAATTACAGTGAACTTGTTCAAAAATCAGATTTTTTATTTCATTACCCATAAGAAAATAAAGTGGATCCTATTAGCCTTTTTTGGAAGTGTCGCTTTAGTCATGTCTGTGTTTTGTTCAAGACTGCAATCCAAAAGTGGCTACGTAAGTAGAACGGAATTCAATCACAAATTCGGTCGTCTCTTAGATAAGTCCGAATTCTCCTCATTCTAGATTCTGAGGATTTTACCAGGCAGATTTTTGCAGTATTAGCCTCCACCAACTTGATTATTGAAAGTGACACGACAACAGCTGAGTGACATAAAGGGGGGTTGTAAAGAGGTCTTCTAAATTTTTTATGTGTATCGGGAACACTGATAGCATCAATTTGCACCATTCCAATTTTTAATCAGATTCAATGTGATTCCTGCAATTCCACTAAAAGTGAGTGTTTGATGACGTCAAGAATCGCGAAGAGCCTTGTTTCATAACACGTCACTAATCGCAAAATAATTATGCTTTTTCAAGGCCCTTCGCGATTAGTGACGTTATCAAACACCTAGTTTTAGTGGAGTTGCAGGAACCACGGACCACGGAATGGTGCAATCAGTGTTCCCGATTTGTATTGTTTAGTAACTATTATATTATGATATTTCTTTTAGTAAACCAGCACACAAAATATATTTCTAAATCGCCAATCAACAATATTGGATTTTTGTCTTTTTTCAGATTAATTTGTTGAGATCTGATGAAGTTTTCACATCAACACTGGAACATAATTCAGTAGATTTTTCCGATTCCCCAATCACTCCGTGTGATATATTCCTAGTCTGGGGAATTAAAGAGCAAGATTTAAGTAATTGTTATTTCGGTGATTACAAGTGTAGAGGGATTCAGAGATATGATGATGATTTTAACCCAAATTCTCAAGAAGCACAGATATCTTTTCAGGTATTTAAAACTTATAGGGATTGTAAAAAGGTTTTATAAAGTTTTTATATGTATCGGAGACAATGATAACATTAATTTGCACCATTCCAATTTTCAATCTGACGTCTGTGGTTCCTGCAATTCAACTAAAATTGAGTGTTTTGATGACGTTACGAATCGCGAAGATCCTTGTATGATATTAAGTGGAATTGCAGAAACCACAGACGTCTGACTGAAATGTTATATGGTGTAAATTGATGCTATGAGTGTGTCCGATACATATAAAACTTTTAGAAAAAAATCTATTCAATCCTTTAAGTGACCCTGTCTTCGACCAGGCTCCAAAGGATAATTTGAAGACAGGAAAATAAAGGCAAGCAAGAAAACTATTTCATCAATGTAAACATCTGTTAGCAGAGCTGAAAATTTTTACAATGATTTACTTGAATATTTCATCTTTTTATCTGTTTGGTTATTAAAATTAATTTTCAACTTCATCCAGATACACTATTTCAGAAATTATGTAATAAGTTGTTTTCAATGACAACAGAAGAAATTAAAAAATATAGAATACAGATAGATCATAAAACTGGTTTGCCGAAGATAAAATGTTTTGCTCGAGATATTGACAAATATTTACAGGTGTAGTATTGTTTCGATATTTTTCGTTATTTTACCGCTCATCGCAATGACAATCCCCTAGTTTACAGCAGATGATAATGATCTGTCCGTAAATCAGTTAGTTTGACTGTACACAACCATACGATATTTTAAAACATCCACGATTCTGCAAATACTTTGAGCGTGTATTGCCATGATTTTCAATAATAATGTATTATGCTATTTTGATCATTAGGGTAATTCTTCAATATTTTTTCTTCTCATCGTCATGACCTTTAATTTGATTTGCACATCATGGCAATGGTCTGTCAATTATTAATGTGCTAATTTGTTGTTTATGACTTCGACCATTTCTTATTTAAATAAACGCATCCAAGATTAATCTGTGCGGATATTTTCATCGTCCATTACCTGACATTTTGACTGGTCACTATCTGTGATATTTTATTACGACCTTTACCTGATCTTACGGACATTTTGACCGTTCACTACATATTCGTACTTATATTCTAATTGTTCATTATCTGTTCGGTTTCCAAGTTGCTAATCATGATTCAACCAGATTTAACTCTTTGTAGCAAGCTGTTCCACCAACAGTTTTTGATGCACGTTTACCATGGGACCTGGAAAAAACTAAGAAGGTTATAGGGCATGTATTTCCTGAATATTATAATGTATTCAATATAACCCCATCTTATGATGAATATCTAAATGTAAGTTATATCAGGTTATTTCTCAGGTTATGTAACAATGTCAAGCTATACCGAAATTTGTCTTATACCTTGACTTCAATAGCAATCTTTCTTGAAAGGCTTTGCAGGAAACCATTACATATACAACCGGATCTCAGTGATGTATTTTATGTCATGAAAATTTTCCAAATCAGGCTATTTTAACCCGTATTAGACCATGTAAGAATCTAATATGGTAAAAATAATATAGATATTTAAATAAAGAATTGAATTCATATTTTAATATTATTTTTTTTAGGCTGCCTTCAATCTCTGGACACTGGGTAACTATGTCCAGAACAACACTGAGGTATTAAAAGGCTATGATACCTTGATAGGTCAGATGGAAAGTCCTTTCACAAAAACCATTGTATCTAATCCAGGTATGTTTTTTCTTCAACTTCTTCAGTCTTCTCCATAGAATTGATAACCTTCTTCCCTATTGTGATATGGAAGGCTCGAATGAAAAGGATATACTGAACTATTACGCGGAATTAATTTTTTAAAAGACACAAATTGACGAAAACGATCCCTTCATGACTTGTTTTAGCTGCGGAACCATGAGAATGAAAAGAACTTTCTGAGCCTCACTCTAGTCTGTCATATGTGTTTTACAGAAATAAAAGTTGGAAATAAGTTTAGATATGTAGCAATTTCTATCGAGACGGATATTAATGGTTTCTACATGGGATTTGAAGAAGGAATTCCACTAATAGAGGCTTGGGAGGGCTTTATGAAGGATCAGGTATGGTAAAACGTTCTAGATCGATAGATAGAATAGATAAAAGGGTCAGATATACAATCTGATCTAAATTTAGATCAAGATATTTTGTTTCACATTTTTCTGGAGGTTTCTTTATTCACAATCCATGATCAAATGCAGTGCTTCTTTGAACTATATTTATTCAAAATTTGACCCTATCGAGACCCTATTGAGTGTCACTCCCTTCGGGACATAAAAAATGCAAAATGTACACTACACCACGAATAATCCACAGGGCATTTGTTGAATGGTAAAATTATTTTAATGACACGAAACACTTTCGTCAGATCAGAGATGGCAGTTACAGTTCACTATAGGAAAAAAAACGAAACCATCTGGATCTGTATGTTAATCAGATTGTAACATATTGTACTATTTCTAAATCTATACATCATTAAATGTTTCACATCCTCGCACAGGTCCAATAAACATTGCAGCTGTCGCTAGCAAGAGAATGGGTATTCTGATTTTGTTCAATATACGTTTGGAATTTCCGCATGGTCTATAAACCTTTTCCCCGTTAATTTCACTTCTTCGCACTTTAGACTTGCTTTTCGTAACGGATGTCAATCCATTGAATTCAGAAGTTTGCCCCTGATTCAGATAACTTGAATGACATGTTGAGTAGCTAGAGTAGAGCTGAGCCCCCTTTAAAAAATGTTACCCCCACTCCCACCACTGAGACCATGAGCTAGCTACGGGCCTGATCATACATGTATTGTGCAAATAATAACAAGTTTAGTGCAAATATATGTTATTAATATTTTCAGTTGTCTACAATGCCTAAATCTCTCCAGAAAGGTTTTCAGATATCACCGTATGGGACCTGGAATTGGATCTACGCACAGAGGGTAGGTTCAGATATTGCATATTGTCTGTAAAGCTTAGAATACTATATAATAGTGATACATAATAAAACGCCTATGTCAAGTAAATACAATTTTATCCCAGTTCTTTTGGAATCAACTTGGGCTGGGGCATTAGATCAAGGCCAAGGACGGCTCGAATTTTTAGTACACTTGTACTTGTTTTTTTTTTATATAGATTAAAGGTAGTTAGATTTAATACGTTTATCGCTTATTATCTGCATAATAATTTCAGGAAATTCAAAGAAATGCTATCACAGGTGTAATATTGGGATTATGTTTAACAACTGTTATCTTAGTTATTTCAATACATAATATAATAACAAGCTTATTAGCTGCCTTAACTATCTGTATAGTAACTGTTTGTGTTATTGGAACGCTACCTATTATTGGTTGGAAACTTGGTGTAAGTTTACTTTGAATTTACAATCCTTCATTTCAATTGTCCCTTTCTAGGGACATCACAACCGACCTACCAACCAATTCAATTAATATTTTGTTTCGTTTCATTTTTAGAAAAAATCTCTGGTTTTATATTATTGACTTCACCAAAAATTACGCTGAATGAAATAGTTCCGTTTCGTAAAATGAAGATCTATGACCAAAAGTAATATTAGCGCATTTCCGGTTGGGAGGTTGAAAGGTTGTGATTTAAAACCCACCCTTACTGAATAACATAGTCGTCTTCGTCTACCAATACAGTATAGAACAATGCCAATAGGAATAGATGTCCATCAATGACGTATGCCTTACTTCCATTGTATTGGTAGGAGCAAGGCAAATAATGTTGACCATTAGGACATTCGATGGCACTTTGCACATTTTATTGCACAACAGTTCTGTTCTCCAGCACATAACACGGGTTCATAAAAAACGATATGAACCCGAAGCACAGGTTAATAACTATGCATATTAGGTCATGTCAAGCACTATGTAAACAGAACAACATGGCATTTTGCCAGACGACTCAGCTAAAATCGAAGGTCATGAAATTGTTCCAGGTAACATAATTTTGATTAAAAGTGCCAATTTAATAATCAGATGATTGTTTTTACCATTTTTTTTCTTACGCGCAAGGACATTTTGTAGAAAGGTATAAAAAGGCCGACCTGTATAGAAAAAGTGCAAGGAATTCATGGAAAATATGCGTTTATTGATAGTTGTGTTAGGGTGTATTGAGACGAGTCTCAATGAAAGCACTGGCCTAGGTCACAGAGCAATAGATAAGTCTATTGATTATGTGAAAATTAGTTAGTCATTAGTATGATTTTAGTTGAAAAGACACAAACACAAAAATACACTGCATGTTATATAATATACTGTATATAGCCATTGCACCAGTCCTGAAATAAGTATTCCCTGAAATCTAACTCAGAAATAGATTAATTTATTGATAGAACATGATACATTTATATTAACAAATCTATGCTCCTAGGATGAATGGACATTGTTCAATGGTTCAAGTCTACCGTGAAAGAGGAAATTGCTAAGATTTTGATTTCTTTTGTAAGCTACAACCAAACGTTTTGTGTATACATGGGGAAATTTGTTCTGAAGTTCCGAGTAATGGCGTTTGACTATTATGGAGGCTTTGGTAGCTGTAGAATCAAATGTCGTTATAAAGGGTATTATCTGGTTATCATGTTGAATGTTGAGTCCATTTGGCCTCGCAGTCTGCAGTTGATCGATCCAATAACTTTCGCGTTGTAGACGTCTAAGCTTAAGTTTCATGCTAGGTGATGTAGAAACTGTTTCTATAGGCATGATGAGAAGGTCATCAATGGAATGATCGGGAAGGTTGAAGTGATTCGCAATTGGTCTATCCTTGCCATGCACTATATCATAACGATGGCCACTGAATCGCGTGCGAAGCGCATTTTGAGTCTCGCCAACATATTGTACATCGCATTTTTTACAAGAAATTAGGTATATGATATTTTGATCTCCGCAAGAAATTAAGTTATTCATCGCAAACAATTTTCCGTTCTTGTTATTTTTGAAAAAATGGGTAACATGTATGTGTTCGCATGTGCGACAAGTAGGACCTCCACAGGGAAATGAACCGAATCCAATAAAAGGTGGAGGGGGGTCGTCTTTTCTCAAAATGTCTGAAAGCGTGTCATTCTTAATTTTTCGAAGAAACCTTTTGGAATAACCCCTCTCCCTTAATTTGTCAAAAACTAGTTTACAGGCGGATTCAAAATCAGCCTGCTGGGTGCAAATTCTATGAAATCTTAGAATTTGAGATTTAATTATTCCAGAAAATGTGTGCTTCGGGTGGAACGAGCTTTTGTATAAAAGTTGGTGGGTATCAGTTTCCTTAAAAAATTCTTTAACGTCTAATTTTTTAGAAGAAAGAAAGTTGTTGCCTTTGAACACCGTGGTGTCCAAAAAATCCATGCTGTTTTCGCTGATATTTGCTGTCAATTTCACAGAAGGGTGGTGGTTGTTTAAAATTTCGAAATATTTCCAGAAATGTTCTAGAGTATCGGACCAAATGATAAAAATATCGTCAAGAAACCGGCCATAAAATAAAGGTTTAAACGGTGAGATATTTTCTATCTCCCTCTCCCACTCGGCCATAAATATATTCGCACAACTAGGGGCAAATCGTTTGCCCATAGCAGTTCCAGATATTTGTAAATATATTTTTCCATTAAAAAAGAAGTCATTGCGCGTTAAACATAGTTTAAGTAAATCTTAAATCTCTGTATCAGGTCGATCAGAACATGGATATCGAACAAATGCCTTACGGACGGCGTCAAGACCAACATTGTTGTCAATGTTGGTATACATACTGGTTACGTCCAAAGAAATGAAATTTCTTCATTTTTTCAACAAAATCGGTTGTGTCTTTCAGATAAGAAGGGTGTTGGCATGCTAGTGGCAGTAAAAAGTAATCTATGTATTCTGAAACTCGGTATGATTCGCTAGAACAATCAGAAATGATTGGTCTACCTTTAGGAATTTTGTTGGCAACGGACCACTCAGTTTCGGGATTTTTATGAATTTTCGGAAGCGTGTAAATGTGTCGTTGGCGAGGCTCAGTGGACGCGGAAAGGTAGTTATATTGCTTTTCTGAAATAAATTTCTTTTTTACCAAATTTTGTAGAATATTGTTTATTTCTCGCGCAGTTTCCATAAAAATAGGTGTATCAAGTTGGCGATAGTGATTTGGATTGTTCAACTGTTTATCAATTTCAAAAATGTAGTCATCGCGATTTTGAATGACGCAGCAACTGCCTTTGTCACTTTTCCTGATGATAATGTTTTTGTCATTTTTTAGATTATTGAGAGATTTTTGTTCAAAATTGGTAAGATTGTTTTTCTCATTCACCAAAGGCAAATGAGAAATTTCTTCATATAAATTGTCGCAAATAGTTAAAATATCTTGGTCAATCGCATTATCTGGTGGATTCCAGCCAGATCTATCCGTAAATTTGATTCGTTTACCGCGGCCAAGTTTTTCGCGAAAGTAATAATATAATTTAAATGTTCTCTAAACTTCAGTTACCGGCGTCAAAATTGGTTCAATCGAAAATGGTTTATGGGTGGGTATGAAGGTTAACCCTTTGTCCAGAAGTCTTTCTTCAAGGGGAGAAAGTATTCGTGAACTTAAATTGACAACAGTTTGTCCTAATTTTGGAATATTTCCCCCCGCGTTTAGTTGAAATGGGAGACCCAATTTAAATATACAGATTTGGCAGTGGGGGCCGTCTAGTGGACGAGATCTAAATGGTTTACCTCGATCATTCCATTGAATCGCGGCATAGTCTTTGCAAACGGAGATGGCTTATGAAAAAGAAGGTCGTTGAATTTTCGTAAGTTGGCGGCTAAATTTGGTCTCTGGCGTTGGAGGATGGAAGAAACTGGTATCTGGGTGGCGAATACGTTGGCTGATGGGAATTTGGTTTTGGCGAGGGATAACAATTCCAGCATCTGTCTGTGGATGGATTCACCTGGTTCATTCTTGTTGTTGAGGCCAATATGGAGAAGGACTTTGGATGGTATTGATGTTGGATTAATCTTTGTAAGGATATCGATGATGTGGTTAATTTTGGCTCCGGGATAAGATTCAGCTTGGGTGTCCTGGTTGACCTCTGGTGATGAATCGAATTTCCGTGCTTATGTAATATGAATTTTATGAAATTCGTTGCCGGATTAAATATTTAATTTACAAAAGCACTCGTCTAAAATCCTCCAAATGTCAATAGGACTACATGAAACAAAACTAGATAATTTTGTATTTTATTCATATTTCAGACCTTGGTATCGATGAATATGTCTCTACTAGTTGGTATATCAGTAGACTACATTGTTCATTTGGCGGAAGGTTACACATTAAGTAGCAGCAAAGACCGGAAGTCACGCGTGCGTGATAGTTTAGAGTCCATGGGAATATCTGTGTTCGCTGGGGCTTGCACAACTATGGGAGCCTCCATATTCATATTTTTTGCTGAAATTTCTTTCTTTTTTCAATTCGGAGTATTTATGTTTATGACTATAAGTTTTTCAGTGGTTACTTCAATTTTTTTCTTTATGACTTTACTAGGTGTTGTGGGGCCGGAAAATGACACCGGGAACTTGATTAAATACATCAAAAGGATACTACAGTGCTTTATACGGAAAAGTTAAAACTGAATTGAAAATACTTAGAGATTGAAAAGTATTAAGATATGAACAAAAACAATAGTGACAATTCGCAGGGTAATTGTCCAGTAATGGGGTTTGGTATTAACTCTGAATCACCCACTCCGGAAGTAAAATGTGACATGTAAATTGGCATTACTAATTTTATGGATTTTTTAACACATAACACGCGAAAAATGAATTCGGAAAGATATTTGGTGGGTTTATAATTATGGAGAATTTGTGCTAATTTAATTATACACTACATAATAATACAGTATATGAATTAATAATACATTATATTCAATCGCTTTTAATTTGATTTTATTCTGATTTTATACCAAATCCATTAATATTTATTTATTCATGTTTTTAATACTAATTTATTTTTAATAGCGAGTAAATATTCCTTTGATTTTGAAATGACGATTGTTCTTTTACAGTTTTCAAAATATTTTTTTTCTTGAATGTTCCTATAGATATATGGTTTTGTGGGTAAAAATTTTTTTGAAAAGTCAATAAGAGTTAGCTCAGGAAAGGGTTTAATCCTGTTCAAAGATATGGTTTCTGCATATGAAACCCAACCCTAACCTAACCACTCATTAAAGCTAGGAATAAGCGTTAACCTTTTCCTGAGCTAACTCCAACCGTAACCCTAGGGTTAACTCTCACCAACCCTAGGTCTCGATGGCCTAGTAGTTTGCGCACTTGCCTGGCGACTTTGGGATCCCTATTTCGAGTCCCAGCTGAAGCTTTTTTAAAAATTCTTTTTTTGCTAAGTCAAACACCGTCTTTTCCAAAATTGTAAGTATACAAAAGAGGTCTGTGAAATCTAGAATGGCCTAACCCTAGGCTTAACCAAATCGTCCACTTTAACCCCTAAGGAATCACTGGTGTATAACTTGTTTCGGGCTCATTTAGACTAAACCCCTGTTTAATATATTTTTCCAGATAATGTGTATACAAAAGAGGTCTGTGAACTCTAGAATGGCGTAACCCTGGGCCTAACCAAATCGTCCACTTTAACCCTTTGGACCCACTGGAGTATAAATTGTTTCGGGTCCATTTCAACCACTGTGTTTAGAAGATGAGCAACAAAATGCTCTTTCATTTCCTAGGCTTAACCAAATCGTCCACTTTAACCCTTTTGGAGCCACTGGGTATAAATTGTTTCGGGTCCATTTAAACCCCTGTGTTATTTTTTTTTCCGGACCATTTTGTGTTGAGAGGATTCGCAACGAAGTGCTGTTTCATATCATTTGCGGATACCATAGCTTGGAATAAGCTTTAACTCTTTCCTGAGCTAACCCTAATTGGTTTTTCAAAACTAGGGTTAACCCTCGCAAACCCAAAATCTCGGTAGCCCGGTGGATTGCGCACTTGCCTGGCAACTTTTAGATCCCAGGTTCGAGTCCCTATCGAAGCTTTTTTTAAAAAAAGATTTTTATTGCCAAGTCGAACACGGTCTAAAGTATCATTGTAAGTATAAAAAATGAGGTCTGTGAACTCTAGAATGTCTGAAAACTAGCTGAAACCAAATCGGACACATTAACTCCTTCGGAACCACTGGGGTATAAATTGTTTCATTTAAGCCCTTGTGTTATTCTTTTTTCTGGACCATTTTGTGTTGAGAAGATGCGCGACGAAGTGCTCTTTCATTTCATGTGCGGAAACCATATCTTGAAACAAGACTTAACCCTTTCCTGAGCTAACCCTACTTGGTTTTTCTCAACTATGGTTAACTCCAGCTTAAACCTAGGGTTAACCCTCGCTAGCCCCAGGTCTCGATGGCCTGGCGGTTTGCGCATTTGCCTGACAACTTTGAGGTCCCAGGTTCCAGTCCCTATCGAAGCTATTTAAAAAAAATTTTTTTGTTAAGTGATACATCGTCTTTTCTATCATTTTAAGTATACACAAGAGGTCTGTGAAATATAGAATGGCCTAACCCTAGGCCTATCCAAAACGTCGACTTTAACCCCTTTAAAACCACTGAGGTATAAATTGTTTTGTTACTCTTTTTTTGACTATTTTGTGTTCAAGACTCCAGTCGTTAGACCCAATGATGAGTTATATAATTTATATAACTCTAATTTTAATTAGACTGCCATGACCTTTTTGTAGTATACATTGAAACCGTATCCTCTATAAACTATCTGAGATGTCACGTTAAAGAACTTTAAGGTAAGCATAGATGAAAATCAATACAAGCCAATGTATTATATATATTAGGTCTGTATCATTGATTAGTGTTATAGGTGAAAACGGATTAATATTTAATAAACAATCTGCTTACATAAGATTGTGGGGAATTTGCGTGTCATAAAATAACAATATTGACTTAAGATGACTTTTAGAACTGAAATGTTTTAAAGTTGAGATGGTGTATTTGACGGGCTATCAAGAACCATTTGGAATATTGCTGTAAATTAGTCTTTCGTGATTTTAAAGCAAAAGTGATTGTGTATAAGTGTATAAGAAAGACATTGTGCCTATGTTCTCAAAGGCAGTGGCCGTTCCTTCTGGTTCAGTTATCATGGAACAAGGTATGTTATTAGTATGTCTGGTTGCTATGTCGTCTGCTATGTTCCGAGACAAAACCGCTGAACTCATTCCATTAGATATAACAGACGAAACCAATGGTGTGGCTGTGACTGACATTGATAATGACGGTCATTTTGAATGGATTTTAGCTGGGTAAGTATTTGTGATTTTGAAATCCTTACAGGAAATATTTTATTTTATCAAAGAAATACTTGCTGTTACCTTTTATCGAGAACATCTTTAACAATACTTGGAGATAAAATTCTGTGAAAAGAGGCCTTCTTTGAATTTGATTTGGAGTTAACTTGTATCAAGGCAATAGTCAGAAACGTAGATGGGCATTATTTTCTGCCCTTTATTCTACTCTTTAAGGTCGTGGGTAGCTAAATTTGGTCCTTGCAGGTGTTAAGGAAATCATTATTATTTAATGCAGACCTACTGGGAAATCAAGCTAGGATCAAGTTGATTTTTATATTTTTATTATTCCACAGATATACTGGACCTAATCTGATACTAAAATTAGTAAATGGTACTTACCGAAATGTGGCAGAAGTTGGTTCACCCTATGAAAATCTCAGAGATCCTGATGGTAAGGTTACTTTCAGACATCCTGATGTCTGCTCATGTACATGGGACACAACTCTTTATGTTCTTATTATTACATGTATATATTAAATGAAATGCCTTGATATTGCACAAATCTGCATTAAACAGGGAACTATCATTATTTTAACCGTTATCACATGAGAATCAACATTCAAGTATATTTTCTTCTTCGCAATCAAATCACTTCGAGGGAATATTTCGTGATTACATAAATTTGGCACCAATCCTATCTTATATCATTGATAGTAAAAAATGAATGAGTGTCTCATTACTCCAAATTTTAGGTGCAGCTCGTGGTGTGTGTGCTTGTGATCTGAATGGTGATGGCAGAGAAGAAATTTATTTTGTCAATTCTAACCACCGTTATTCCGGTATAGAGTCCTATACAGATAGACTGTTTATATGGAGAGATGAGAAGTATATAGACCTCTTCCAAGACCCTATTAATAAACATATACCCATGTACCCAGGTACTGCTGTAGCGTGTCTTGATAGAGATGGTGATGGTCGTTATGGCTTTTTTGTTACTACCTATTCCGAAGGTCAGTTTGTTGGTAGCATAATCGAATCATAATCAGCATTTAAATTCCTTTCCATTCATCTTTTCATGTGAATTAACTATTGTTTTCTTTGACTGACTTTGACGTTTTTTTCTTATTACTTCGGACTTTCAATTTATGAGTAATGTATTGATTTGATTTTACAATGAAAAGGTGATAGGTGAACCCATCTGAAATGTATTCAACCGTGCATTATTTAAATATTATAAATTCGATTAGCTTTCACATTTGGTTATGATATCTTTCAGTTGGTCGAGGTAGACATCGTGTTATTGAAATGGATTCAGATCATCCTGATCATGACAGTGGTAGGGGTCACATTAAGCTGATTGATGTGGCTTTATCTACTGGTCTAGGTACAATGAATGGTAAGCTCAAAATTTATATATTAATCTCAATGTATTGAATTGCACAATCTGTTATAACGATTAACAAAAACATTTGATTGCAACACCACAATACTATAACGATGTTCAACAAATTTCCAAGATCTATTCTTAACAAATATTAGAAAATATTGTGTTACTGTCGCCAACTACTATTTTGAATACAATATACAATATTATATAAGTTGCATATGAACATATTTCAGGTGGTCAAGGTGTAGCTATAGGGCCTATATTTGGTGATAGCAGCAAATTAGATATCTTTATAACCAATGAAGGTAGTACCAGACTAGGTAATATTGGTAAGAACAACCTGTACCAGTATTTGCCCAATGGAACATACTTAGATGTAGCAACACCCGAAGGTAAGTTGAGAGTTCCCGTTCGTAAGGAAATTTGAAACGACCCCCATTCTATTTTAATCCTGTAAAATCTAAAATAACTAAGATTGACTAATTTTTTTTTATCTCAGACTCTTGATTAGTAGGGCAGTCATGTTCCCACTGGCAGTGAAGTGCCTTCATCAGAGTCTTTATCTTCTTTCATATCGAAGTTGAGGATACAACGGAAGATGGTCGAGGTATTTCTCTTGGTGATATAAATAATGATGGTTTGATAGATGTGGTTTATGGCAACTGGTTTGGGCCTCATCGTATCTTGTTACAGAAAACAGATAGCGTTGGTCGATCCACTTTTGAGGTATGCCAACACATTATGCAATTTTTGGTGTCAATCGTTCTATAACCGTTTGAGGTATGCCAACGCTACTAATTATGCAATATTTGATGTTATTCGTTCTATAACCGAAAGACACTCGGCTTCAGTGAGACCTATACCATCCTTCATTGCGTATCAAAACCACACGCCAGGCCGTAGTTTACATAATGTCACCCTATATCTATGTTACCTTTAACTTCTTTTGCTTTTTGTTTCAAGAATTTTGCAAGCCAAGAATTTTCAAGATCATCACCAGTCACGTCTGTTCTTGTGGAAGATTTTGATAATGATGGTGGTGTTGAGATCTTGCTTACTAATCAGTATAATGTACCAGGTTATTCCCATGAGGGCATGTTGATATCCAGCAACAGACTCTTCACTACCAGACCTAATCACCATGGTAACATCAGTTTAGTTAGTCTTGATATGGGTGATGCTATTGAAACTATGCTAAGTGGATCAGGTAAGATATGTTTTGATCGTTTACATCATGCGACCATCATAGCAAAAAATGCATTGTGCAGTAACTGCTGCGATTCAACGTACTTATTTTGTTGACTTATTCTACCCAATTTATATCTGGATGTCCGGATTTTGCTTATTAACACCACCTTTTGATTACAGGAGCAGCTGTAGGTGATATTGATGAAGATGGTGTTTTGGAGCTGGTAATCTGTCACAACAGTAAACATTCTTTACCGCACTCAGTCAGACTGTATCACGTGATTCAAGGGAGAAATAATAATTGGTTACGAGTGATTCCCTTCACACAATATGGCGCTCCCGCCAGAGGAGCTAAAGTGACCTTGACATTAAGTGACCTTTCCAAAATCACAAAAATTATTGATTTAGGATCGGGTTTCATGTCACAGATGGAGCCTGTTGCACATTTTGGACTGTCTGCAAATCTGGTGGAATTTGTGAAAGTGACGTGGCCTGACGGTCGCAGAATCAGACGTTCATTAACTGATGCTGATGTCAATATGACCCTATTTATAACATACAATGGAGTAATGACATCCAAATCTACACATCGACGTTTGGCGGAAATAACAATAGAGGTTAATGGTGGGTACATTATTCTTTTCCCATCATATTCAGCTTAAAAAGGGCTTTTATATATGAAAATATTTAATAGTATTACTTAACGTCTTCCCAAGATATCAAATTGAAATGACACGTCGTGTTATTTTAGTCAAAAAATCAATCTTTTATTTTCAGGTACTCTTAGATCCTGCCGCAGAAGTTATTACATTGTTATATACTTAATATTTATTTTGCATAACCTTTTGGTATACAAATTATAGCAAAATACTCAATATCAAATTAGTGATTACTATATGAACTTTTCATCAAGGGGTTGAAAATGAAATGAAATGAAGGTGACTCCAGCCTCTGATTATTCCAATGAGGACTGGCAACACCATGTATGGTAATGACAGACACCGTGTAAGGAAAATGACAGAAGTTTATTGCTGCATCTGGACCCGTTTTACAGAAAATCTTACTAAAATATTTTGTAGAATTTTACATTGAGAATACATTACTTTCGACAAAATGATCGTGAAACTGAACAAGTAACTTTTCGATATCATATATCTTCATAATGGAAGATCAAAATTTTCAATGACGATGCAGATTAAATTGGAACAGTCGGCATTTTCGGGAGGTGATTTTGGTCTTGAATTTATGTAAATGGTCTTCAGAAGTACTGGAGTGAAACCCCTTCCAACCTGTATAAAGGATCACCATAATGATGATGTGATTATCACCATAACTTTACTTGACTGTAGTTGATGTCATCTTTTCTCGCATGATATAATATAGATACGTAAAGAGAAAGTGAAAACGTTATATGACATGATGTATAATCCTTTAGAATAATAATTAGAAGGTTTAATAGATCTGTATTGATTTTTAGGGTGGTGTCTGTTTTTTTTTTTTTAAGAATTAACGATCCATGTACATGCTTAATTTGATCAGTTTCTCCTTTGTACTATTAAGTTACCTACTATCTGCAGAGGTTTGGTTATGTTCTGAAATGTTAACCATCTATCTACGACTGTCAGACATGTTCCTTTAGCAACGGTACGATGATTGTTCACATCCAGTTAGACGATCATTATCATCATCGTACCGTTAGCAACGGTAATGATCGTCTAGCTGGATGTGAGATGATGATAATGATCGTCTAACTGGATGTGAATAATCATCGTACCGTTACTAGAGGCAACCTATATAGCAATGCGTAACTAACATAGGGCCAAGTTATTATGTCTTGATGTTAAATTGGTAATGAATACAATAGAGGGTGCTTACAATTTCCATTCGTCATTTTATAAGATCTTGAGATCTCTGACTCCAAATTTTATGACGTTTTGGAACATAACATAGATTTTTCAACAGGAGTTCATAAATAGGCCCATACTTTATTTAGGAATTTTACAGCAAATGACATTGTTACCAGATATTTCGAAGGTTATTGGAGTTTAAAATCTACTTCAGTCACAAGATATTTATTGTGCAAACAACCAATGTTGTTTTCTGCGTTTGAAGAGTTCTTTAGAAACTGTTAACAATGTTGACAAAGCAAGCTTGAAGTATATCATTAATGTGGTAGGTAGCTGACTATAAATAGATCAGATGAGTACTGATTCCAACCAATGGAGCTGTGATCATCTGTATTTTTAATTTCGGGACATGACCACAATTTATACTGGTCTGAAAATCACGCCCTGAATTAATTTATACCATTATAAAAGTGCTGATAAATTAGGCCCCGAAGTCGTCACAATTAGTCGAAATCGTCAGTCGTATTTTATTCACCAATAAAACATGGTGCTCACTACTTGAAAGTTAATTTTAGCTTAGCTTTCTTGAAAGTCAAGTTTAAGGGTCCTATAGAGAAGGTGTCCTTTACTGATTTTGAATCAACAATCAAGCTTTTATCATGCATGGAATATATAGTATTAGACTATTAGTACCATTTCGCATCATATATCAAATGTATATCTTTGAAAGTTCTTTTATTGAATAGTTAGCTGAATACATCCACGTATGTTCTGTATTATATATGTAATATACATAAAATTGTATAGTTAATAACTGAATAGCACACTGATTTATTTACATAGCAGTTGAAAAAAATCAGTCACATTCTTTCCAACTAGTTACAAAAGTGAGTCATAATTTACTGGAGTCACGATGATGATGACATCTCTGCTCTACTTATCTGGAATCGATTTACAACACTGGTGTCTCTATTTACGAACTGACGTCACTGTGTAGGAGTGAGGAATCTGGTGTTTACGTTTTAAGTGGTAGATTAAAAGATTTACATGGTCAAATCTACCTTCTAACACTACCTTTACTCATTATAATCGATCTTCTAGACAGGTTTCATTACCAAACAAACAACACAGAGGAAACTGGATTGACTACTTTTAATTCTTCACGGGATTTTTCTCGTTAAAGTTACTGTTACTATCTTTTAAGCCATTTCAGGTGAAGTTCAAATGAAACTGTAGGAGCTTAGTATCCTGCTGTGTATAATATTGGGATATTGAACAGAGGATTCGTCATGACAAATGATTGAAGAGTAAAATTTTCGGTGACAGCGCAGTTAAATCTTTATCGTTTTGTCTTTCGCATTTTCTGATTTTTAGGTTCTTACAATACCAAAAGATCTGGCAAGGGACACATAGGAACGCTTTTAACGAATACGAAAGATGTTATCATATAACTGCCACAACGTCATGATATCATAGAATATCTGGGGTTTATAAATCTTGAAGAATATGTAAACGTCGACTTAATGTTCCAGTGGTTTAGATGTGCTAGAAAGTAAGCGCCTAAACAATCGGGAAAGAAACGATATTACCACTATATCAAATGTTTCCTTTCGCCTCGCCTATCCTAATTATCTCAGCTAGGTTTCATTTTCAAAATCGAGCCATTCATCAATTCATTCAGACGTACAGGAAAAGATATTTTTTTTAGAGATATATATTTTCATTTTAGATTTATTATTCGGGATGTTATGGTAAGCGGTAGTCGGGGTGTGTAACCATTTGAATAGTTTGTCACTAATGTCAGCATGTCGTCCAAATATAGCTCAAATTTATCCTTTTCAATGTAAATGTTTGAATAATAATAATAGTATAGAAAGTGGCTACAGAAGAATGTCATATCGTGTCATTGTCAACCCTAGGAAGATTTAATCATTCAGAGGATAGTAGTAGGCTGGCCGAACGAGTCATATTTACGTTGTGAGCCATTCAGGTGTGAGAGAAATACGGTTGGACCAGTATCCAAACATTGGCTAACTGAACGACACAGACTTTGCAGGTCGTCTGCTAATTTTTTTAACAGCAAATTAGAAACGTATTTTCCTAATGTTAAAAAATGGCTGCATTATTGGAATATGTGAAACAGTTTCTATTGCAGCGGGCTTTTATGTATGGATTAATATTGTTGGCTAGCTTTTTCGTTATTTCACCTTTAGGATCTTTACAGGTGAGTCATGTTATTGTAAAAGTTACGTTTAGTATGTCATGTAATTGAATAACGTGACATAACGGTATATGTTGTTAAACTCTAATGACAAGGGCTGGGTTGCTGTAAGGTATATTATACAGTGTATGATATTGTATATATAGACAGTAGGCTATTCTAATTTTTCAAAATTTTATCTCTTCACAATCTGAAGATCCAACATTCACTGATTTCATAAAATTAAAGAAAAAGATAGTTTACGAGAAGTAATGACATGAGATTTCTGTTATGGGGCTAAGCTGAAGTGATGTTGGCATAGTTCATTTTAAGCCTGTGAATTATTGGATCTGTTTCTCATGCATTCGACTTCTTTAACAAAGTTTGATGAGAAACGTCGAATATTATACTATGTTTATAGGCTCTATACATGTACTAGTAATTGTGTGCTGTTTAAATAGGTAATGTATTATATCAAGTAAAAGTTAAAAGTTCTGCTCGAATAAACATAGCATGTCTGTGGGTAGGATACTAACATTATACTAAAAATAACAAACAATTTAACTATTAGAATATATTTAGATATAAACAAATATACGTAGACCCTATAGTGTCCGATTACATAATAACATTCGAAAAAATGTCAATTTAATGGCATTCGTTATATTGGCAGCGCAATTAAAGGGTTGTAAAGTGATTTCTTAACTTTTTATATGTATCTAGGACACTAATAGCATTGATTTGCACCATTCTAATTCTACTAGAACTAATTGTTTTATATTCCATATATGGCACAGAGTTAAAGGAACAATAGTTGAAATTCATTTTGGTAAATAACCCTTGAAACATTTTGACTGTTCATAATTCTATATCAAATCAAATTGTAATATTCATGCTCTCCACTTGTAAGATATACATGCAAATTGGTAGATTCGTATCTAACGAATTTTTATACACAATTATTTCGTTTAAATCAGTTTTTCCCATTTAAAGTATACAAGAAAAGAGATATAATATCAAATTTTTACTTGCCCAGGGGTAAAATAGTTAGATATCGTCATTAGTAGACCTTGTAGAATGTTGCTATACATATTTTTCAAAAAGATAACATTTTAGTGAACATACGATAAAACGGGTTTCTTAAAACATGGGTTCATACAAGGTCATTCTGTGTGATTTAAATTGGTATACATGGTATCTGAATTCGGATCATGATTCATACTCATAAAACTAAATGAATTGAGAGCTGCGCCCAGGTGTAATACATGTTATGTTATCAATAAAGATGGGCCATAATATATACCCCCCCCCCACCGCCAAAATCACCTTATCGCCATTGGATCTAGAAAATCGTGTGAGTCGTTTAAGAGAAATAGCATCGTTGAACTTTGAGGTTAAATAAGTGGATGATAAAACATTGAATAAAATATAAAATGCTCTTTTTAAGTCGATAAAAACCATCTAAGTTATGTTAAAGACTGTGATATGAATTATGATCTAGTGATTAAATAATTTAAAAAAGATTGTCCTTTAATATGACATGTTGTCAGGTTCATACGAAAATTGACACATTTTATGTCACATGTCATTATACATAACGGTTTCAAAATAATGGTTATTAATGGGTAGGCCTATATGTAAATAGATAAGCAGGTTTATAAATGACTTCCTTGATGATAAGTATTAATCATTAAATAATTATTTACAACGTTTCAACATTTTACATGGACGTAACCATTGCAGTGAGATTGCCCGGGCGATTAAGTGCATTATACTTGAAATGTTCCAAAATGGTTATTAATTGGTGCAAAGAACTTTCTGATACTAGATGACTTTCTACTGAACATTTTTTCTTAATTCAAACTAAATATTGCACGACCGTTTGGATTGGTTTCAGAAGTTTTCTCATATAGCATTTATTCAAAGAATTTATCTGATCATGAAGCATTTTATATGTATTGCAAACCACAAATTTTGAATTCAATTATACAGATCTACACGAAATATCACTGACCACATAAAACTAAATTAAAAGATTTTCTCATATTTTTATTGACTGCAATAGCCACCTTTCTCGTCTCACGGAATACAGCGATTTCATTGGATTGTACGCCAACGAATACAGCCCATTATAGCCGCTGACAGACATTCTTTCAAGGACTCTGAAAGAGTACAATTAGAGTACAATCTAATCAAATCACTGCATTTATAGACTTCTGTGATACAAGAAAGGGTAAAAGACGAAATTCGTAATAGCTTGACATTGTGAAGTTGATTTCTGAGTGCAGTCCTCCCTCACAACACACATTATTTAAGCACAAATTGTATTATTGTAACAAAATAACAATGTTAACAAAGAATTACACCAATAGAGTTAATTTATACACAACCACGATGGAAAGGTCGAAATATATTTAGGTTTGGAGTATTTACTTTGATATAATTAATAGGGGCGTGACAAGGAAATCAAGTTCAACAAGTCAAATTATCTTGTTAATATTGTACATTTCACTATCTTTTATAAAGATACGGGAAGTTCATTCAATAACTTGATTTACAAGTACCACCAGGCCAAAATCAAATTAATAACAATAATTCATAGGTTTACATAAGTATAATTAATTTTATAATATACAATGTACAAAATTAAATTTAGAACCCAACTTTTTCATCCAATTGGTATTGGCTGAATTTTCTATTAAGTAGAAACTTAATGACGTGACATTTTAACTGACAGCTAGTTGGTTTTAAGTAAGTTCAGGAGTCAGTGAAGCAAAAATTTTACTTAATAATTATAGTCTTACGATTACATAGCTTATTATTTTTGCATGCTCTGGTGAGAGTTGAATTTCATGTGTGCAGTGAAATATACTAAGTTCAATGCGTGTATATATGAATATATATGAAGACGATAACGTCATGCAGTGCATTGATGCAAAAATTGTCAATTGAGGCATCATTTTTTTTTACCTTCTGATGTAGCGTTTTATAAATTTGAGTCCTGTGGTTTTCAAGCGTCGACTCCGGGGCCGCACTGGAGTTGCCGACTTCAGTCTTCACTAGGGTTGAACTCCAATTCGACCTGGGTTCTGCAGATGGCTACAACCACGTCATTGGTTGCCCAGAATTCACTGAAATTGCGACCTAGCAGACTAACTTCGTGTAAACACAAACAGACTTGAACCCGGAGTCAATCGGGGTCAGTAAATCCGCGGGTCCAATTCCAACTCGTGTAAAGGGCCTTTAAAGAGCTATCAAATCCTTAGCAGTTATCAATGGCATCCTCAAGTCATAGCACACTAAATATATCAGAGACGTCATGTATGGATCTGGATTGTAAATGTTGTTACCTTATATGGAGTAACACTTTGTTTGATCAAAACATGAAAGATTATGACAATTTATATTGAGTATTAAAATGACAAGTATATCTAACCATAATAAAATATGTAATAATATAGATAATAAAATGTAAACAACTCAGATATAAGATTGCTATTATGTAGGGTATAAATAAAACATTTATCACCTATCCTCCACTTTTATTAAATTACAGAACATGGCATCTTTTATCTGTTTTCAGCAAACTGACTTCACTCTAAAGATTTCTGTGAACAAGCATCGCAAGGACTTCTACTGATAACACTATAAAATACTTCTACTGACTACACTATATAGACTTCTACTGACAACACTGTAAAGACTTCTACTGACAACACTGTAAAGACTTCTACTGACAACACTATAAAATACTTCTACTGACTACACTGTAAAGACTTCTACTGACTACACTATATAGACTTCTACTGACAACACTGTAAAGACTTCTACTGACTACACTGTAAAGACTTCTACTGACTACACTATATAGACTTCTACTGACAGCACTGTAAAGACTTCTACTGACTACACTATATAGACTTCTACTGACTACACTATATAGACTTCTACTGACTACACTGTAAAGACCTCTACTGACTACACTATATAGACTTCTACTGACAACACTGTAAAGACTTCTATTGACAACACTGTAGATACTTCTACTGACTACACTATAAAGACTTCTACAGACAACACTAAAACATCTGACAACAAAAACTAAATTAGACACTAAAAAAGACAGTAGCTGTAGTGGATAATAATGAGTCTTATTTAAACTTAACAACTTGAATACTTCTTTCACTTGAACACTCATTTCAATATACATATTTTATAGTCTTAATACTCAACGATTACTTATATTTAGTATAATATTAAATGATCTATTTGCTCAAAGGTTTGTAACTTTAAGTACCTTTCTTTTGACCTCATTCTTGATCAAATTGTTAAACATTGTATGGTATGTGAAAGCTCACCGCCTCTATTGACTCGGGTTACAGATAATCTAGTCAAACTTTTCATGGATTAACATGACTTGATACATTCGATTGATATAATAGGATTCAGTCATTTTGATGATCTGTGTCCAATGTCTCCTATCGATTTAACCCTTGTAAGCGAAATTCTTATCTGTTTAAAGTACCCAGATAGCAATGAACAATATTTGAATTTTTTTTTTTTTTTTTTTTGCATTAAGGGACATGCTTAGATAAGATATGTCAATATAATTCAGGGAACAATTGTTTTCACGTCTGCTCTCTAGACTCATGTCGAGATGAAGCATATTCACTGTATTAAATTATTTTGGCAGATGACCTTTAAAAGGAAGAAAATATATTCAATGTTATTGCCAATATCGACTTTAATATTAAACATGTTCGATCAATACACTACTATTGTATAACAATAACCGTAAGGCCAAGATTATTTAAGTCGAGATTTTTATCTTTAAAAAATAGCTGAAAGTGGGATGTGGTTATCGTAATGGTGATGCCCAATGCAATTATGATATTTGAGTATGAGTTATTTATGGACCCTTTGCCTTGGAGTCATTTTTGAAACACCATTTGTTCATCTATTCACGTATTACGTGTACTTCAAATTAAATTCCGAAAGATTATTTTTGATAAGAAGTATTAGTTTGTTTCCCTCTTTGCAATTATAAAAATATATCCATTGATCACGTTAATAATAAAGTAATGAACTATGATTGGGGTAAGATTATAGGGAAGATACAAATAGAGCGGATTATAGTATCTATCCTTTTTTCAAAAAACAAATTCAACTGGGATTGCACCTTTAAAGTTGAACATAAGATACTGTCATACAATCATATCATTATACTATTGACCATACAATTACTATAACAATACTTACCTCTGTCAATATTTAGATATACCCATACGGTCATCTCCTTTGCCTTGCTATTTTCTTTATTGGTCTGTTTATTATCTGTTATCCCTTCATCCATCGAGGAATTCAACATTATTTGTCTTTTTTTTAGCGTGGTGCTCTCCCGAATTTCACTCTGGAGTCCAATTAAACGGGATTCAAATTATTTTTTGTTAGCTTTGATTAACAGCAACATTTATCATGAATGATATTTGCGAATGTGGCGCCTTAATCTGGAACCACAGACATCACAGGAACCACAGACATCAAGGAACAAGGAATAGTGCAAATATTAACTTAACAAAGTGCCCTTGATGCTTATTCAAAGGCCACAAGCATCCATTTTATGGGGGGGTGGGGCAGCCCCAAAGGCATGTTTTTCGGGAAACAATCTCATAACTATGTTAGACATTCGGGCAACCTCAGATATTTCGCCCCCCCCCCCCCCTCGGATGTAAACCTGGCTCAGTCACTGAGAGAAATGGGTACCTTTTTACCTTATAGTATTTTGAGGCTAATATTCAAACTAAATGGTTTACGTATACTTTCAATCCTTCAATCCTATCAATCATAAATTTTGATATTCTATTATTAATAACTGTTTATCATGAAAATATTTTTCCAATCTAAATTGTTTTGTTTATCATATTTTTCAGACCACCTTCAATGAACGTTGTATACTATATGCAGACTTTAAGTACACAACTGTAAACAAAACACATTATTTTGCTGTAAATTTTGGTGAAAGTTCAGTATGTGATTATGATTTAGCTGTTAGTGTTATATTCTGTATGTGTTATCCGGTTATTGGTATAGCAACTTATATTTTCCTATATTTTAGAGAAAAAGCAGACAAAAAGTAAGCTTTTGTGTTGAATTTTTACTGGCAATAATCAATTTGTTTGAAGCATTAATTAAAATCAATAACTTACATCTACGACGTGTACTTCCGGTTGAGCTAATATTGAGTTGGATGATGGCTCTGAAAACCGACGTGTATCTTAAAGAAAAGCTATAAATGACCGATCTTTAAGAACATTGGAAACATGTTTGTGACTCCACGTAGTCGATATTTGTCACCAACCAATGATATGCAAGAGAAGGATAGGATAGTATCGCCTGAAAGAGGTGCACCTAGAGCGTGGTAATTATTCAATACTAAGCTATATCTATTGCACTACATATCACTATTGTGAGACCTCATTAAACCAATACGATGTACAGCAGTGCGACTTAAAACCCCATGTCACTTTTGTTAATTTTTTTGTTTTCAGAGTAGATTTATCCCACTTATTGTTTATGGGTAACTGTATAGTAGATATTATTATAACAGTATTGGTATTAGTTGTAGCTTGTACCATTAGTACTGGTTTTACTCATCTCTGTAACCAGATTATGTCAGGAACCGAACAGGGTATTCGATTAACAGGGTACGTATTTGGTCTTATATGATTGGGCTGTTTGGACAAGGCATTGATGAGATTTTCTTTGATTTTTCTTTGCCATCAAGTTTTACTAAACAGCTTTAACAACGTTTTCCATATTCGTCAACCATATAAATATTTAACCTTGCTATTATATTTATGTGTATATTATGTTAGACAGGATACTTGCTTATCGTTCCTAAACGCCTGAAACAATGTTACGAATGAATTTTTAACTCAATGGAGTCAAATTGCAGCTAGTTATGTTTAGTGTTATTATCCTGTCTAAAACCATGATCACATGACTGGCACTAATCACGATTTTGGTGATTCAGATGTCAATTCTCATTATTTGTGTGATAATATGGAATATCTCTAGGAATTAAATATTGCTTTTTGGAAATTGGCAAATTACCTCAACAAAATAACCGTATATCACTTTTTCTCAGAGTATGTGCAATTTGAATTTGAATTTAATCTGTATTTCTCTTGTAGTTGCTCTGATGCTCAGAAATTTGAATCTTGGAGAATGTACCATGATTCAACGTATACTGTATATGACGGCACCAAATTCCACGTAGACTTATCAATAGCAACAGTAAGTATTTCTTATATTATTATATCATTATATTATGTACATTATGGTTCCAAACACACAATTGTTTTCTATAATACATGTTTTGTTCAGTTCCCGCCTTAAAGAAAAGTATAAGATTATGACCATTTTTCTATTGCGTGTTCCTACATTGTGCCCGTGTCCTTCATCTTTAAGTTATAAAGATATTTAAATGAGCTTCTCATCACCGGTAATACCAACATATAGGCCAGTTCTTTCATTGACACTCGTCTCAATACACACTCATACAATATCAAAATCTTTTCTCAATGTATTTTTCAGGCTGGAAGCTGGTTTGCGTTTATTTTCTGGTTTTTACAAGCTTTGTTTGGAACTTGGAAATTGTGGAGATTAAACATGCTACCAACATGTCCAGATAAATTCAAAATATTGTGTTGTAAAGACTCGTGAAATCGTTCAGAACTTAAATTTCATTCATCCATTTAATCTTATTCATAATCAATATAATTTACATCGTTGTTTAATTATATAATATATTTACATTACATGTCGTTAACTCGACTGCTTCAAATGGAGAAACACAGCTATTTTATCTGTATGACCATCGGTGAGAGTGTTGGTGATCAAAAGTTACCTTGTGAGGTCAAGGTGAGCTGAAGAGTGGCGGAGTACTGTTAATCGTTCCTTGACTTCGAAAGGATCCAATTGGAATTACTCGCAATTTGCGTATCTTTTTAAGCCATTGTACTGGACGGTTTAGATATAGGTTTAGTTGGATATATAAATATAAACATGTTCATATAGTCTATAAGAAAAGTTTAAAATGCAGCTATTGGTAAAAACTTTGGAAAATCGGACTGTTTTGACCAAATAGCAGAGTATCCCTCTTACTGTAGACGTCAATACAATTCATGTCACAATGTCATAAAAAACAAATGGAATAGTGTTCAATGAGAGAAGAATCATCTTGAAACTCTGTTATTTTCATGTTACAGTGTACCATTATTTGTTATCATTTGTAATATTCATTGTTATCTGTAGAATAAGTGAATGTAGCACCAACTTCTTGATGTATTTTGAAATAGAGACAATCAATAACGACTCATGACTCGTGTCAGAAGAGAAGAAGTCAACAATATAGGATTGTTGTTGAAGCATTTGAGATTTTGCCGATCGACAATTATACTCTTTATAGAACATATCAGTCGACCGGCAAATTCTCAAATACTTCACCAAAGCCTATCCGGTCCACAAGTACATCTGCATATAGGCTATGCATAATTTATTAGAGTGACTTTTAGTATAAGGATATCCAAAGTATAGCGATAAGATAGCCTTTTTGTGTCCAAATAAGATTCAGTGAGAAGTATCTTCTCTGCAATAAGACATTTGCCCATCCTATCCTCGAGCTTCGATCATTTGATGGAAAAGCTCATCAGTGCAGATCAGGAATTGCATAATGCTCGCTTACAAAACATACCGTCCATACCAACGATCACATCACAATCTGCCAGCTTGCTTGATATGAAAGCATTAAAAATTGAAGCATAGTTAGTCACTTACACCAACTAAAGCAATAACTCATACATATATACGAGATACTCCAGAACAAGTTATTTCCCTTTCTTTGAATTAGGTTATTATGAAGGTATTTAAAAACGTGAGGATGCAGGCGGAACCAACATAATTCACCTTATGGTAAGTGAAAAAGGTAGAATTGTTGTGGCCTTAATCCCCATCCGGAATTCCCCTTGAGTTCGATTCGCTTCCCCAATAAAGATGATACAAATGTCCCAGACTAGGCCTTTACAAAACCTATATCAGTTGAGTCAATTCGTGGGGATTCTTACCTGTATACCAAGAAACAATGCTTTTTACGTAGACAACTAAGCTAAGTAGTGCCATCAATATGTACTCACCTTTTTCTTAGTTAAGTAGTTCTGACCACTTTCCGATTAACAATTATCTAACTATCCTATCAAGCCAGAGATTGAACAGAGGGCTATTGAATATTATATTACAGCGTAGATTTATATTATAGTTCGTTATCTTCGTTAGACCTGTCAATTACAGTACGATAACATTTTGTGAGGCTTGGAACACTTTTTAACCTACCCTGCTACCTTGCTTCAATCGTTAATTACTTAGCTTTGTTATACGCGTTTAGTTCAGTGTGAAGATCAGGCTGTTGTTTGGATCGTGAAACAACACATTAAAATTAGTGGCCTTAATTTCAACATACTTGGTCGACAAGGATAATATCGGTAAAACTGAACGGTTACTGCGATTAACAGCCAAGATGGTGGCTCTACCAAGTACTGATGTGATTCTGCTTGTTAGAACAGTGTTATATGGAGCCATTTTCATACTGTCAATGTTCATTTTTGCCCCCATGGCCAACCAAATGGTAAGTATTAGGAAATATTTTCTGCTTTGTATGAAATCGTTTGTTTGGTTGGTCTGATTTCCCCCAAATACATTGAATGAAGTCAACCTTGACCTGTCCTGTAGGCCTAGTAATCGTACTAAGTGACTCACTCATGTAAATCATACGTATGAAATTATCTAGATTTTTAATCGATATTGTGGCCATTAATTTGAATTAGGTGAAAGGGATCAAGGCACATCAAACTAACCAATCTAAAGAAATATGTAGGTCACTATGACAGAAAGGATTTTTCAAATTAGACCTCATTTTGACATAGTTCAAGACAATGTCCATTTCCTTCGAAATATCCCTAAATTTTTAAATATTTGAATTAGACCTTGAAGAGACCACTTAAGGAAGAAGGCCCTATGGTAGAAGATAAGATAGTTGCCATGTGGATATATAGGTTTAACTCTGATTAAACATATAGAGTCCTATAATATATTTTAGACCAACCGGAAAATATATTATTTATGAGAATTCATGAATAAATGTTTCCTAAAGAAAATCAGCCATTATCAGCTGCCATTATGATACCAATCCTTGTAGGCCTACTTCTCATTAGGCTAATGTATAGGCCCTATGTGTTCTGAAATTCTTGATTCCAAAACTGAACTGTCATTGCTTCATGGTAGGGCCTATACGTGTAGCCTATTAATAAATTCTATCAGAAAACATATTGCTGAGAAGAAGCTTTGGCTTTAATAGTGTGTTCAGACGACTAAAGTTAAGGCAATAAAGTAGCCTACCAACTGCGTTCTTCAAGCTGTTTTTTTTTTTGTCTGAACATGACTGGTTAAACTGAAGCTGCCTTGACTTACACCTACTTTGGAGGTGGCTTCAAACCTGACTTGAATAGATGAGCTTATTTCAGTCATCTGAATGCTATTGACCAACCAATAAGCCTAAGAATTCTTATTCTTATTAGCTAATGCCTAAGCCGGTTTAACTTTAATGGCTGTCTGAATGTTCTCCAAAAAAACAGGCTCCAAGAACGTTTAATACGTTAAGCTTATTAACTTTTTTCCATCTTAAAGGAATACTACTTCTTAGAATAAACATAAAATTGTGACCAATTAGAGCATATTATATTCACCAGTAGATATACCTGGAGTCATAAATAACATAACAGGATCCTTATATAATCTGATAAATTCAAAAAACTTAGTAATTATACAATTAACCATTCAAAAACTCTTAATATTATGATTAAGCGTTTTTCAATAATTACTTAGTTATATGAGTTTTCCAATTTTCGAGATTTTACAGGGATTTTGTTGTAACTTTATGACCCCAGGTAAGTTCACTGATGAATATATTATACTTATATTTACCATTCTTGAGAATTAATTTTATGTTCATTCAAAGACGTGGTATCACTAAATCAAATAACAGAAATATATATTTAGGTGAATTTTTGTGATATCTTTCAGAATACCCATGATGGTTTATGTGTATTATATGGTGATGCAGAGGCAGTAGAGGGTTACAGTGAGAAAACAACTTGTAACTATACTATAGCTATTGGTGTATTATTTGGTTTTATATATGGAGGTATTATGACAGTTGTAGGAGTATTGTCCCTGCTAGGAAAATTAAAAAAGCCGTAAGTATATTGATAATAAGTTCTAAGGTCAGAATAAGACGCAGACACCAGTCTTTTATCCACAGACACCTGTCTTATTCCACTGACACCTATCATTTTTCCACAGACCTCTGTCTTTTCCATATATATCTTTATCATTCTTATCCAAATTTATTGATTTAGTATGGCTATTTTACTCATTTGGTTTGATATTTTTTTCCTCATTGGTTTTGTTGTGAACAATGCTTTTTTCCTAGTTCAGTGACTTTAATAGAACGTTCTTGGCTTGGTAAGTTTGAGGTTCCTTATTTTGTGCAAGAAAGAGAAAATATAACTTTGATCCAATTTGGACATTATCATGAATTTTATGTAATGCTTCAACTATTTTGGCAATCGCTGAACCATATTTGTGTTAGTAATGTTCCATAAAGCATTTCTTCAATCTTATAATACTAATAATTGGTTATTTTCAGGGAGAATTTCAGTGGTGTGTTATTTCTTATTAATGTTATACTGGACCTAATTTCCTTCATATTAGTTTTAATCACAGCATGTATGATCAGTGTTGGTTTTCAAGCATTATGTAATAGTTTGATATCTATATTACAAATCAAATCAGAGTAAGTATAAGTTTTGATTTGTTATGATAACTTATTAGACTAAAGAAATTGGAATCCCTTTTGGATGCTAATGTTATAGTATATTTTGTGAAGCTTCAATAGACAAATGACTTCTGGCAAGATTGTTGAAGAGGTCCACCTAAAATTAAAATCCTAGCTTAAAGGGACAAGTGTGCCATTTTGGGGGTTGATTTTAGTCTTGTATATATGTAAATAGTCATCAGACATACCAGAAATGTACGAAAATCACCTTATTCCTTCAAAATACCTCAATATCAATATATATGGCAGTTTCTCAAAAAGAAAAGACTAATTTTATTAAATTTCAAACAGGGATAATTCTGACACTAAGTTACGATTGGTTTAAAAAAAATGGCACATCTGTCCCTTAAATATTAGCTCGAGCTTTAATTATATGATTAATGTGAGGAATTTTGTAATAAGGCTGGTTATTCTCCCCCTTATAGAACATCTGATTGTATTCTGCATTGGATTGTCTACCAAACCTCTCTTTCAAAGAATTTGCTAAACCATGTAGTGACTACTGTGTCTTTCCCAAACGTCATCTTCAAAGACCAACTTCACTGAAGAGGTTATCATTGTTTAAACTGTGTGTTTCTCATTTCTTTTTTAAGGAAATTGATGTAAAATATGTGTATTTGTTTTTTTTTATTTTAGCTCATGCCAACAAGTCTATTTAAAAATACCTAGTACTGGTGAACGTGATGAATTTTATACTCCTTTAGCTGTTGCAGAGGTATGTAGAACTATTGTAGGACTGGGTGATATTGCTTTAAGTGGATATAACAATATTTATCATTAATATATCATGATTTGGGTACACAATATATATACAAATCATTTCTTTAACTTTCAAACTCGGATAATTCTGGACACATGGGTTTGAAGACTCAAATTTTTATGGTGAGCTATGAACACTATTATTGATTAGCTTAGCTAAAAATTTCCTTTCGGTAGGTACAATTGGTTAAACGGATGGCAAACCTGTCGTTTAAGTATGGTTTTTTTACTAGTATTATTTGATCTCATCTGGCAGTATATCCTGATGATTATTATACATCACGGTGTGGCTATATTCCATTATTTTGAAATGAGATGATATAACTAACGATATAAATTGCTATACCAGTATATATCATGATACCAGTGTATCACCAAGCCCAGATATCTACAGTTATCTTTCTTTCTTACAGGCTGGAGCATGGATATCGTTTGTTATTTGGATGTTACAAGTAGTGATAGGAGTGTTTTTGTTATGGAGAAACAATATGATTCCTTGTATTAAGAATAACTCAGCAGCATCTACTACAGCAACTACTGATGATAGATATTAGTTGTGGAACTTTATGAATTGATAAGTCAGCTAAACCATTAGTATTGTGACTCTTATTTGCTTCAGTCATTCAAGCTATCACATTCTTAAGATTATGTTTAAGCATTAAAAGTGCCAAGCCAATCTTTTGAAATAAATTGCTTACTCCCTTTTGATTCATCATATTTTGATCTACTGGCTAATATGTGTTTGATATACATTTAAAGGAAGACTACCTCTTAGAATGGACATAAAATTTAAAGTTTCAAACTTGGTCAATAAGTGTACATATTCATCAGTTGAATTTACCAGGTGCCATGACTAAAGAATAAAATCTCTATATAAGACGCGAAAAACCATTAAACTAAAAAATTACTTAGTTTAATGAATTATTACTATTAGTGTTACGGATTTATTGGATTATAGATTGAATTCTGTTGTATAGTTATGACACACTAAGTCCACTGATGAATAAAGACTCATTTGGGCCATCCTTAGAGGAATTATACCTTTAAGTTCACTGTTATTCATGTAGAAACACTATGGCAAACATTGTTTTTTTTACTTTCATATAAAGATCATTTAATATTTTCTGTGTCAAACTTGTTATTTTTATAAAGAATGTTATTAGGTATGCAATTTCACACTTATCTTAATGTTTAAGTCTTTTGTGCCTTTCAAGAATGAGATTATCTGATTCAATGGACTATTTCTGTAAGGCTTTAATATATCTGTTTCATGCTTTTAAAATTTATTTCTTTGAATTGCTGATTTCCATGAGCCATGTTGGATCTGATAAAGCTGTCTTGTGTCTATTTAATGCCGTATAAGACTGAATCAAATACTAAATGTTGTATATGTAATAATATATCAATCATCAATCATTATGTAAATCATATTAGATATTGTTATTGTATCTAAAAATACGGGTTATGATCAATGTCATATTAACCTGTATATTAAACTAAACCTATTAGGGTTCTGGCCCACAAGAGGTCTTGGTCAGAGACTTTTGTCGCTGATTAGAGTCTTGTCACGGGCACACGAGGAGACAAAAATCTCCAATCGGTCGTTTTCCACCTTGTCGATAATCACGTGTGGAGCATGCAATTGAAAGGAAAATAAATCTGGTTGGATGATGATGGTCTGTCTTGCAGTTGCAGTCAATAAAACTATCGAAGACAATTATCAAACTTTTTTGATATTATAAATCCTGTTTCAGATGCGATTTGTCGTGGAAGCTCAGGTACAAAATTTTTCTCCAGACTCTCCGATAAAGGCCGCTCGTGTGCCCGCACCTTTAGACGGAAACAAGGTAGAACTCACTTTGGCCTTTAGGATATTGCTTATGTAAACAAAACACAAAATGTTGGAGAAAGGAGGTAAAATATTGAAAAAAGTTGTTAAAAGTCATTAGAATCTGAAAGAGGAGACATACCATCAATATGCAGATATATTTGAAGTATCAGGTGTTACTCTTTTTTACCTGTTAATTTTATACAATTTAAATCTTTGGATCTGATTTGGTTAGATGAAAGTTCCTAGAAATTTTTATACTAATTTGGATTAAGTATATATCAGATTTAAGAATATTTGTTCACCTCAGTCTTAAGGAAGTTATTACTATAATGTATAGTGGTTTGATAACAATGGAACATTATATCATTCAGTGTGTTATCAGTGTGTATTGAATTAATACAATAACACTGTATTCACTGTTGAAATAATATATTAATATAATAGAGTGATATAGAAATATTTAGAATTATAATGTATTTATATATTGATTGTTGTAGGTGTTATATTGATGTGTAATAGTGTATAGGCCTTATATATTCATTGTTCACTTTTTACTCCAGATATGTTAGGTCCGAATTTCCCAATCTTTTTCAGGTAGCGTTCCAATTCCAGAAACCGGCACCAAGGTCGCGACCCCTCAAAGTAAAAACTAAGTCTTATGTTTTACTCAATTTCATTGTAATACATCGTTATCATTTATACTACATTGTCCTTGAATATTTGACCATACATTATTGAACTATGTGATGGTTGCTCCTGTTTTTCAACAACAATGCATGACTCAACACTACTCATGTCCTTCGTTATTTGTAATGTTATGTACCATATCAATTTCAAAAAGTTTTCAGACTAGTTTGCGACCCCCAGAAAAGTGCTTCATGACCAGCGTTGGGGTCGCGACACAGAGGTTGGGAACCTAGGTTTTAAGGAAGTAGTGATGAACTGTTTAGAACACCATTTTTAAACAAACCAGACTGAAAATTGACATTGACAAATGTCCTCTTTTTATAACTTGAATGATTTTCCTGGGCGCCATTTTGGACCAGTCAAGATCATTGAAATAAGTTAAATGTAATTCTCTATATTGTTCACCATTTGTTTTTGATATAATTTACTCTTGTTTTTTAATGCTCAACATTTGTAATAATCTGTTAATTTCAGGAAATGGGGGCTGTTGTCAGATCCTCTAGACTTTTTAAGTTATACCAATCCAAACCACAAAACGAAAAAACCAATCAGAACTCTTGGTATTTACAATTATCTTGAAGTTTCCAGGTTACTGACATTTTTTATGTTTATTTTTAAATGATACTTTTGTTGATTATTCTGATCAAGTTTTACTAGTCGAGCAAAATATGAACAGAGTTGTCCAACTTTATTTTTAGGCTTTTAAACTAGTTTTCATTGTGCATGTTGTTTAAATAACTGTTTATTCTACCTTATAAAATAAAGTGGACTGTGCAAGTTTATGTGTTGAATAAAACCTGGGTGTGCAACCAATGTAGTGTGCAATGAGGGAAATTTAGTCAGGATAGTAGTATTAACCTATTTTTTTTTTTAGATTTCCAACTGTCCAGATATCTACGGTCTGTGGCACACCGATCCACAGTCCTAACAATGTCATTCAGAGAGTCAGTGGTAAATGTTTTCTAAGACAGAGTTCCACCCTTGCTTTTAAAAATCAGTTCCTTTAACATGGAATATCTATGAGAAGAGTCCTGAAAATTCCTTGATCCTGGAACTTGATGCAAAATTAGAATAATGCTTCTGTTATATTCAGAGCAAAATAACTACAAGCACAAATATACAAGTAAGAACAAACTACACATGTATTGTTTACTTTAATAACCTTGTGTAAAGTAATAATAATTCATTATGCACCAATAATATTAATATCAATTAATATAAGAGTAAACAAATAAAATAATAATGCACACAGTATATTGAAAATATAATAGAACTATTGTTTGTAGACATTCTTGCATATATTATAATAAAATATGATAATTCTATCTTTTATTAGTATATCATAATATTATGTTGGAGACAAAACCCTACTTTTTTTTTAGTACGTTCACTTTGCTTATATTATATATAACTAGTTCAAAAAGATATTAACAAAAACCTCAAAAAATTATTTAAATTTGTTTGTTAAAGTTTCATGCACTCTATTGTTGGATTATCTCTTAATCCTAATTCTAATCCCACTACAAAAACATATTACTCAAAAACCAGTAATTTATTTCTAAGCTAACCTATTTGGGTTGTAAAATATATAGACAAAAAAAGTATTTTTCCTATTTGGAAAAGTGGTATTCATCTTTGATATATTATTTCATTAAAAAAGTAAATAGAAAATTATTATATCATGCAGACAAGAATTTATCTCTTGTGTAAAGTTAATATAAGCACTCCTTATGCAAATTTAAATATACAAAAGATATAAGTAAGAAAATATACAATAAGATGCTATATAATTTATACAAAAGTACAAAAAATTATTATAATATTGGATTAAATCAAGCACAATTTTTCAAAATAAAATTTCATTGCAAATACAAAGTATTGAGTAGCTAAATTCATTAAAAAAACAAAGATTTTTATATTTCATATGCACGCAACATAAAATTATTATGCCTGTCAATATTTAAATATTATTGGTAGATATGAGTATGTATATTGGTACTAACAGAAGATTAAGCTAGCTAATTGTCTTATAAGCTTCATACTTTCGGTCTAGTTTAAAAAAAAATATATAAATCCGAAGAAAATTAGCACCTAAACAGCTAAGCCTATTATTTCATAATCTATACAGTTGTAATTCAACAATTTTCACTGATTAATCTTTGTATATAAAATCAGCCTATATCCAGTAAACTAAGCTTCACCATAATAAGTACAATCAAATTCTTCAATGATTGAAATGTAAACCACACTGTGAAGATCTTTTTTTTTCTGGCGATTATGCTACCAGATTTACACCCTCAAAATTAAATTAATCAATTAAAAATGGAAGCAGCATAATTATTTTTGGTAAATTAGGATATTACATAACATTTTATTAACAATATCAGTACATGTTCATTGTTCATGAATTTGTCTTCAATTCACATCTTTGTGCAAAATTAGTACAAAAATAGTGTTTAAGGTAGTTATTTACAAAGGTCAATGGAGAGCACAAAACAGATTACATGCTGATACAATGCTCTTTATGAATGATGTACAAGGGTAATTTTAATCAAAAGTTAGTTTGAAAGTGGTTTTTCACTAAATGTGGTCTTAAATCTTCAGATATAATCCTTGAGGTTTTGTAAACATTATAAACATAAACCAATTGAGGCTTATATTGATATATCATATTTATTTTGCTTCTTTTTAAACATACAAAAAACAAAATCATATCATAATTGCAAACATTCATATGAACAATTAATTATTTGTTACATACATGATGTATATATATTGGAATGTGTCTGATTCTAAAGAGAACAAAACAAGGACGGAACATGACAGATCTACACGAAAACAATGTTTATACCATAACATCAACAGGTCCATTATAAGTGTATCAACAATCAGGAATTGTTACTCAGGAGTTTTATAAATGTGACCCCACCATTGATTTTTTTAAATAATTTGTGCAATGGATTTTAAATCTGGCAACATTTTGTGGATGATTTTTCTGTTCAGTGTTGTTATCTTTGACAATTATATCAGATATATATTTTAACATTTACTTCATTTCCACCAGTAACCATGGCAATTTCTCCATATTTACTCCTTAATATAGTCTTTTGACAATTTGAATTAAAATATTTCTGAAGATTCCCATATCAAGGCCTTTTTTTCAAGGCTTTGATATTAACTTATTAAAATTATTGCATCTTCCTTCATCTGCAGTAGCTACTTTTTTGATAACTTTATAAATTTTTTACCTGTGCTTGAGAGTGATGTGTTGATCAGGTCAAGGTTCGTGGTTTATTTTGATGAAGACCGTCTAGAAATTCTTTTAGAATGGTGTTGATTTCTCATGAATATAAAATGCACCAATGATATATAAGAATTATGTCCATATACTATTAAATTATAAATACTATGTTGGAGGAGAACCATTTATATAGCGTAACATTAAATTAAAACTATTAGATATAGTACATGAATAGTCTTCTTCACATAGTGGTACTAAACATGCCAAACCTAGTAATAGTAACATTAATAACTGGAATGGTAAAGCTGCTCGCAGGACACGGGAACAAAATGGAGTGGCACAAATTAAACTTGCGTCTTCTTCATGTGAAACGATACTTAATCTGAAATAAATACAAAATTCTTTGATTTCACTTCATATTGTGGTATAAAATAATTTCTAATGATAACATGACAACACGGAAATTTTGTTAGTAAAATGAATTCATTAGTAATTTAAATGAATATATAAATATTGAAAACATTTAAAAACAGTTGAATATGACTTATTTATCAAATTTACACAATAAATTATAAATATTATCCCATTCCAAGATCTAACCTAAGTTTAAGCAACCAACATGCATGCAAACTTACAAAAACAAATAAAAAAACTAACAATGTCATACCCCATCCATATAAACATGCAACAATTATAAAAAAAATAAAAAACCTAAAGCTTTAACAACATTTATAAACCAAATAAGGGACAAAAGCGAACAAAATATGCAAACAACTGTGAACATGATAAAAAAAATTTGAACATCCATCCATCTTTTTCTTTACACAAAGGAACCTTGATGGATTTCAAATTGACCAAAATTACGATAATGAGTTGGAATGTGATCCTCCATGACTATATCGTGTTTTTGATTCCCTGATATATGTTTTACTATATTTTATATTACAGGGAATGATGTAAAACAAAACCTTATGACCCAAAAGGTTTCTGTAAGAAGCTGAAGATCATTGCTGTTCAGTAGTTGATTAGGATCCAATTGCAACCAAGGACTGTACTTTATGAGGAGTGAGGAAAATGCCTAACATTTACACAATGATCACATTTTATTTTCCAATCTGCTTGATGAAAAGAAATCAAAAGCACCAAACTGATCAAATTCATCATATCCCAATAATTCAAATTCTTCTTAACTTTTCAATGATATAAAAAGATTAATGTATTAATTGTATTTGAGTTGCCCATTTCCAAGTTAATATTTAATATTAGTTATTTATCAGTAACATGCCTTATTCTTGTTGTTTTAAAATATTATCTGAATTAATTTTTTGACTCTGAAAGTTGATTCTTTAATATTTCAATATACTTTTTCATTATATTTAAACCTAATAAATTGTCAAAATCTTTCTAGGCATATCTAGAAAATGCCTAAGGTGGGGGCCAAAATTGATTTCAGATGGCCTCAATTTTGAACATTTAGAGGGCTCAATTTCACTTAAAAAATAAGACTTTTCACAGGCCTAAAGGAGAAGCCATGGCCTCATGGCCCACCCCCTAAATATGTCACTGAATATAAGGATATATTCTGGTATATTGAGAAATTATTACAAATTAATCATTGGAATACAATATAGTCTTTGCCTAAGTTTTGAAGCAATATGCACTAAATTTGAGAAGCTGGCCAAAATAATGATGCCTTAAATTAAATTACAGCTGTTAAAAGCCTTTGACTATTTCTAAGTCATTAAATACATTAGTTTTAGTTTGAAGTCAAAGGAAACTTATTTGTAATATCTTTTTTTGACAGCAATTCAAATCTGCTATTATTCTAGAAGCCTCAAGGATGGTTCTTTTAAGATTTACAAGCATAATTTATGTATGATTCAAATATATTGAAATACTAAATTACTAAATATTTGAACTAACTAAATATGTCAGAACTGTGCTAAATATTAAATAAGCTGTTGATTCTAAAACAAAATAAATTTTGTGTTTATGTAAATAACTAACTGATTGTTTATATGTGTTTTTCAAGCATTATAGTAACATAAACTTGACTTGAAATAGAAAATGAAAGAAAGCAAAGATTGCTGAGAAGCAAAAGCCTAAAGATTAAATTTAAGCGATATACAGTCTATTCTCTTTACCAGTTGATGAAACTATAGTTATAACGATTTCATTTATAGCAGGCATAATGCTAATGCTCTGAGAAATTCTAGTCTTCCATTCAATTCAAGTGTTACTATTTCTGCTAGTAATTTTTTCTTGGAAAGTTGACAAATTGGGACACAGAGAGACCTATTTTGAAAATATCTGTTCCTTTTGAGATGAACAGAAATTCCAATATAGGTCTTTTATGATAATCAGAGCTTGAAAATCAATAGTCAATCAGTTAGTTGTGACTAAAAAAAATAAATTGATGCAGTAACTAAGCAGTGGGCCCCAAACTGATTGTCAGAGTTTAGACATGCTGAAAAATGGGCAACATGTCGCGCTAGATTGCGACACAATCACCCTTAAATAGGAAATTACTTAGGACTGTCTTCTACACTGGCCTGTAATAAGGGTCTGGTGTCTCCAAATACAAGCTGTGAAAAGCAACACACAATAAATGGGATTATAGAATGATAGAATACAGTAGACACACTAGCTTTAATATTTCACAAAGAATCATTTAAAAGAGAATGATCAGCCTTATAAATATTTTCGTGGTTGGACTTGTTTCCAACTACCATGGTTATAATAGAAAATTACAATTCATTTTAGATATTTAGAATCAAGTCCAACCAGCTATGAAAATTTCAGACAAAGATTGGCTTTCATTGAATCAAAATAACTTTATCTTTATTAAGATTTTACAATTAACATATTTATATCCAAGTGATTTTGATATTTTTAGATATATTGATAATTAAATTTCTATGGAAACTAAAGATCAGAATAAGTTGAAGAAAGCATGATTTCAAAGTTAATACACAATATTTACCTGTCGTGAAACAGCAAAAGGGGATCTATTTCTAGTTCGGACTAGACTTCCTGGTGGATGTGTTTGGTGGTAATAAGGTGAACCTTGGCGTGATGTTCTGGAACTACCTAAACCTGACAATACTCTGTCACACTCATCAAGACTTACAGCCTACAGTAGATATTTAAAACTTTAATCTTATTTCAACTTAATATATAATTTGACAAGCATCAAAGAACACCCTTAATTTTACAAATAAGCTCTTCCAAAGAAACATACAGTTTTATGTTGATAGAAAGAATGCATGTGTGGAAGAGTTCAATAGGAAGTTGAGGGATTTCGGGTACATAACTGGCATAACATATCCAGCCTATTTTTAAACTTAGGTTCCTCCACATTAGCAGTTGACACATCAGAATCTTGATTTAGCTCCAAACTCCAAATCTGATAGGTCCACAGATTTTATGATTTAAACGTGGTTTCAGGATGTGCAAATGATAATAAAATAACAAAAATAGCTACTAGAGATATAGGCAAAGAATACTTACCCCAGGTCTTCGACTAAGATCTAATCTACCTTCTAAACTAGAGATATAAGAATTTGAAAGTCGTAGTAAAGCTCGTAGTCTATTAACTATAATACACGTCTTGTCTTTAGCGTTGACCATTTCCGTAGAGTCTGTATTTAACAATAGTTGATCTGCTGTCTCTTTTAATGTTAAGGCTTTGTCTTGTTTTTTTTCCAAGTCACCCTGGATATCCTAAAAGAATAAAAAAAAAAATACAAATGAAATAAATTTTTATATAAATAAAATATGTAATTTAGAATTTAGAAACTCTGGCAACAGTCATTTTGGTGTGTATACATAGTTTGTCAAATTTGGTTTCTAGTCAGGAAAATGCCAAATTCCGTTCTGAAGTAACCAAGTAATTATGATTGTTTCATGCCAAATAACTTTCAAATGATAAGATTTTCAAACCGGCAAGCCACTTATCACCAGAGAACAAAGTCAACATGGTATTGACTGAGTCTGATGACTGATCCCTACTTTCAAATATATAAGGTAAATTATTGTCCATTGGCATCTATTTCAATACCCACCTCCCTATCCAACTCTCCTTCCATTTTATCAAAAACAAAGCAATAAAAAAGTTCTTAGAGAACAATTAAGCCATTGCTTTCCCCCCAAATCTAGTACCTATATAACAAGCAAATCCTACCTTTAATGAATTATATTTTTCCCACAAAACAGCATCAGTAGCTTCAACATTAATAGGTTCACATCGTTGTAGTCTAGTTTCTATGTTTTCTAACCATAATAGTAAATCATGCACTGTATGGTGAAATTCTGAACTATCTGTTAACGCTGACTGTAGTTCTTGTTGAATGTCATTAACACGAGCACATACATTCTCATAGCGTCTGTTCATCACATGTAATTTATCACGGAGTTCTCTCCCTTCCTGAGTTTTATCATCAATATAGTTCCTACTGATCAAATTTATTGATGTCACTCGCATTTTCTTGGATTCTAACTGAACCAACAAATCCTGAAAGAGAAAGAAGTAACGTTCAATCTGCCACAGATGATTATTGAAAAATGGACAGCATCTGCAAATGTCTGCTGCTTGTAATTTAGAACAGGAGACTATAACATTATCTTGCCTTTTGGATCAATTTTTGTGAAAATTTCTCATACTGACCTTAAATTGTCTTATAACTCTCTCTAACTCTATCATGTTGCTAGGCAATGGTTGAAATGATGATAATAGTGCTTCAGTCTCTTCTAACCAGTCTAACATACTATCCATATCATTTATAAATTGAATATGGTCTGGACGTTCAGAACGATGTATTTGTGTCGTGACATTGCCTTCTTGTAACCTTTCCCATCTCTCGGTTAAAACTGTCATCAAGGAAAATAAGGATTAATTTATATATAGGTAAAAGTATATACATTGATAGCATGACAAAGTAGTCCTTCAAAATTCAAAAATACTCATTCATATGCCTAAAAAAGAATTCTTAATTATCTTGTCAAAAAAGTAGCAGTATTAATGGATCATTTTCTCCTTTTATGCTTGAACTTTACTCAACAAGTGATCAATTAATCATTTGCTATGTGATTAAGTGAGGGTAGTTGGAAGCGTATCTGTAAGAATTTTTTGTATGATTTTGATGCAAAAGTCAATGCTTTAAAAATATAATTTTCTTACTTCTAATATGAGAATCAGCACTAGCTATGGTGTTTAAACCAGATTCAGTTTTTATCAATCTATCTAATGTGTTTATTTTATTCATCCCTTCTTTACATTCATCCAAATAATAAATCTGAAATTAAAATAGGAATTTGATGACATTACAGCTATGTTAGGCAATTCATATCATTTTACTTACTGAAAACAGAGAAAATTTTACATCAAAAAGGTTGGGAGAAAATTTTTTCTATTAAGCTAAGCTTCTTTCATTGTATACATATCCATTATCACTCTTAACAAAATGTGAAGATTTGACAAATGGAATTTCTTGAAAAACTATCTGAAAAGAGTACTCACAAATCTTTCAGTTTTGTCAACTTGGCCTAGAGCCTGACTAGTCTGTAATTCTTGTTCAGCAGCAGATAATTTATTAGCTGTATCATCTATTGTGTCTGCTAGATTTTCTAACAGAGCTTCAACTTTACTGTTTCTGCTTCTATGCTCAGTCTTTTGTCTTCTTTCTTCTGAAGCTAGAATTGTTAATAAAAAATATTGTGGGTTGTACATTCAGTCAGCATGTGAAAGTCTGGTGATCTTAAATTAGTCCTCTTTCCTCAATATTTCAATCAATCCAGATGTAAATGGATAAATAATTTAGAAATTCTATAAGATTTGGCTAAGAACCAGCGAGTAAAAATGAACCATGTGATCCTGAAATTTTACCTTTGACAATGTAAGTAATGATTTTGTGACAGGGGTCCTGAGTGAAATATATATGTTGATAGCACATTGTCATCAATATCTTTACTGATATTACTTAAACAACCTTAGTTGTATTCTTTACGTCATAATAAAAACTTTCTTACCATTAGGACTATCACTATGTTTAGCCCATCTTGATGGAGACCTTGCTGATTTGGGAGTCCGTCTACCTGGTATTCTACGTCTTTTTGGACTCTCTGGTGGAGAGCTTCTCAAATACTCCTCAGTCTCTGTTGTATCCCATTCTATTGTACCTTGTTCTGACTGTTGAATAAGTGTAGTGTGTCTCTCAGTTGTCATATATTCAACAGTTTCCTATGATAGTAAGTCGACATACTTGACATTAGAATCAATTGACTTGACATATCTTGACATCTTAACTCAATCAGAATAGGGTGTCTAATGATTACAAAATTTTTTTTCACTCAGATACAGAAATGATTTTGAAAAAAAAGTTTGATAGAATTGCCTGAGGCAGGATGAAATTGACCATTAAAGATAACAATCTGGTTATTAACATATTTTGTTATCCCAACCATAACATTAACTGAAAGTGTCCTTTTTAACTTGATTTAAATTGATTCTGATAAAAAAAATTGACAAAAGAAATTGAGAAGGGGATTTATATAATGATCACTAGCTTCTTGATATTGCTGATCAAATTAGCTTTAATTAATTAATTAGCTTCGATCAACTACAGAATTATGTAAATAATTATGAATACATACCCCTTCTATTTCTATAGTTTGTTGTTTTTCAGCTATAGTTCTTGTTCTGTCTTCTATTTCCTATAATAAAATAATTATTTCAATATTGATGAATCAAAGGGTTTTCTGATGTATAGAGAAAATTGAACAGTGAAATCTTTTTATCAATGAGGCCTTTGGATCTCAATCATATATACCTTTTACATCAAAATCATCCAATACTTAACTCAAAAAGATTTGCAAGAGGTTTTGAAACTTGTGAGACAATTTTCACTGAGATCCACAAATCCCAAAAGCACCAGATTGCAACATATATTCATTTCAAAGATACGAAAAATTCATCTTTACCATGTTGATATTGTGCTGTAGTTGTTTTCTGTAAGATTTGATTCTATCATTGATATCTCTGTAATAATCTCTATATTCTTCTAACTCAGTTTGTATTAATGTCACTTGTTGACTATCTCCATTCAGCCGTAACAGAGCTGCTAAATCTTCTAATCTTGAATTATCCCCCTTTCTATTCTCTATCTCACTCTCAAGTTGCTAAAGTTAAGAAAATTAGATTAAGTCAAAGTCAAGACTTGGAACGGACGGAGCCTGTTCAGAACTCTCAAATAATGGACCATAGAATGATAATGGGCCTACTGCTGTACACCTTACTTAGCTACCGATATTGTCAAAGAAATTTCAAAAATTTTACATCATACAATACCTTAATTTCTTCTAATTTAGTGGACTCATCAAGATCTGAGAGATGTTCTAGATCTGTAACTCGTAATTCAGTTTCACGTAACCATGACACCAATCTTAGTCTCAATGTATTATATTCATCTTTAGTCCCTGTGGACTGTCGTAATTCTTTAGCAGTAGCTGATGATTTCTGCTGCAATCTATCCCATCGTGAGTTGACATCTGTCATCAATGATTTTAACATGCCCTTGGTATCAGTCAAACCTGTCTTAGCCATTTGACGGTACTGTTTGTTGATGTTCTCTAAATGGGTGATTTGTGATCTGATATTCTTTTCTAATGTCTGCAATGTAGAGAATGTTGACATAGAAATTTTGGAGATTCCAATTATTAGTAACTTCAACTTCATGTCATTTTGTATCACTGACTTATTTCACTCAAATTTCCAGAGCCAGATCTTGGACTATTTGGTTTATAATAACTTAGACTCCATAATTATAAACTCATTTCTTTTACTATTTGTCATAGTTTGTGTTATAGAATATGCCAAAATCCTCAGTTCATGTATATGGGTATCATTAGTTCTTAAAGATATGATTAGCTCGCCAAATACATTTAACACCTACTTACCTCATATTTATCAATCTCTTCTCTACTAGTTAATGACATTGGATTAGCTTCACGTCTTCTGATCTCAGACTCAGCTAAATCTAACCAATCAGTGAAATCATCTGTAGATTGACGAAATTTCTCCCATATCTTCCAAGTTTCTTCAATCCTAAAATCAGAGATGAAGTATCTGGTAAAACATAAGTTTCCTATCTCTTTAGCTGGTAAAATATTAAAAGCATGTCCCATGATGTCATTAATGGCCTCCTTTGATACGCTAGCTTTCACTCAAGAAGACACCCACTAGAAATTTGACAGGTGGAAGCAATATAGATGTACCTCGTAGTAGGACATGCATAGGGGGTTAAGCCATCTGACCTTCTGCCACAATAAAATATTACCTGATTCTTTTCTCAGGGGATTGTTGACAAATATTACTCCATCTTTTTTCTAAACTCTCCATTGTCGTCTGCAGAGTATTAAACTCTACCTCTGTAGGACAGGCATCTGTATCATGTAACAAGACTTGACAGAGATTTAATACAGAGGCCACACCAGCACTGTGTCTCTCTATATCTCTTTGTAGATCCTGAAATTGAGGAATGAATGTCCTGTAGGATAAAATGATAACATGCTTCTTCCACAATTCCTTCGTCTTAAAAAGGTTGTCTAGCTTTTTTGTGATCATCTTTTAGCATCATTTAAATTTTCTGTCAGATATCTGTGGTTCCTGTAATTATTGAACTACATAACCCTACATCACATCACTATCACAAAAGATGCCCATAATTCATCATAACATGTTAAGTGTTAGTGGAATTGGAAGATCCACAGATGTCGGAATTAAACTTGGAATGGAACAAATTGATGGTGTCTCCAATACACATAATTACAAAACCTTTGAATGCAAATGAAATAAAACATCTTATATCCTGAACTCAAAGTAATAAAACTTAAAGTGAATGAAGTTAACGTTATGTGACTTCACTTAGATTGTAGTATGTACTCATAATCTTTAAGAAGTGGAAAATATAGCTTACTAACCTGATGATGTTCTAGATGTTTCTGTATTTGTCCTATATCACAACTCTGATATATAATAGGTGTATTTAATTCAAGCTCAATATTTCCTAGCCATTTCTCTAAATTTTTAGTACTATTATCCAACTGTTTAACAGCTAGTAATGTCTCTTGTAACTTTCTCTCTCTATAAAATACACAATCATCACATGATATGAGTTTACATTAGATTTTGCTCTTGGATTTTTAAACTGCACAGCCCCAAACACTTAGGTTCCCAAATTTTCTTACATCCAAATGATTAGACACTTTTTCTATGACAGCTCTTCTGAACTGCATAACTGATAAGGGGAAAATGGATTGAATTGAAAGATAGCATCAGGATCAAAATTGTTCAGCCCTTTTTGGATCAAAAACTACATCATTTTTGTTTAAGGTGTGAATGGCAACTCTTAATGAGGCTAAACCAGGTATTTAGTTATATATGAAAAATATAGTAAAATTTATGGTCAAGAAACATGTACTTTTTTTTTAAACTTACCTGAAGTTGACAACTTGACAAAGATGTTGCCATTTATTTTCTACTCGTTCTGTTTTACTATTAATATCACTAGCTCTAATATAACTGCTACTATTACTTAATATCTTTCCTTCTTCAATTAATTCATTCTTTATCTTTTCTTTCTCTCTCATTTCTTCTTTAATTTCCTACAATTACCACATTCAAATTTTACTTCTTGCCACAAAAAACCTGTGCCAGTTCTTTGTTTTGGACAATTACCTTTACATCAAAACTCTTGCAAAGACTTTCACAGTTAAATATTAATATATTTTTTCACTTTTATACCAAAATATGCTTCTAAAACAAGTTAAAATTTGGTACAACTTCAAATTTTCAAAAAACCATATTGCTCTAAAAGGACCCAGCAAAAGTTAATGAACTGGCATCTTTGATTTCCTATCTTTTAACAAAGTAATAAATTTAAAGTTATTAGAAATATATTCACAGAACTTAAAGACCATGTTTTTAAAAATTCTAAACTTGACTTTGGTTTATCGGTTTAATATGTCTATCAAAATTCTTACCCCTTCCATTTTCACAAGAATAAAAATAATTATCACATACAGAGAAATGTCCTTCATTCAAACTATCATTGACTTAATACCACCCAAAAACATTCATAACACAATGTAAATCCCAAAATACATCACAATTTCTATTAATAGTCCAGGGATTATGCTAGTAAACGTGACCACACCCACTTAAGATTCCAGTATTACAATCATATGGTTACTATAAATAAACACTATTAGTCTGGACTGTTTATACTGGTTGTTATGACAACACAGATGTGATACAGGTGTACCAGACGGTCTGTTGTCAAAATTCAAATTTTCATATTTGACGAGTTTAATTTAAAATTTGAAATTCAGGACAGCATGTTTGAACGTAATTATCATGGCATTCAAATGTTTTGTGTAAATAAAATAATTTGTGGTGTATTTTCTGAATTTTGTTAAAATTGGTGAGATAAAAACATTTTAAAGAAGAAAGGTTAAAGGGTAAGGCATTAGTGTTCTAAATATATGTTTTTAAAAGATTTGAGAACTTGATTCAGGCCATCCTTATCACCTTTCAGAATTGAAACCTTATGTTCTGTTCCATTGAAAGTATAGCTTGAGCCAGGGTGAACTACAATCATTTTCTTCAAGAATATGGAGAAAAATATAATGCACTTGTGAAAAATTGATGATGACCAAATTTAACAAAAAGTTTGTATTGAAAAATCAATGTTTTGAACCCTTCCCAAATGTGCAGCAAAAACACATGAGAAAATTCAAATCGTAAGAAAATTTCTAAAACTTACTGTGTCTAGTTTATGGATGTGATCTTCAACATGTATATCTCTACCACCAATACATTTCTCTTCCATTTTATTCATCCATTCAATAAACCATCTTACTCTCTCAGAGAAGGCTGTCCATTTTCCAGTATTGTCATCCAATCTTGTCACTCTTAATGACATCTGTCTTGATAGCTCCTCCCACTGTTTATTCATTAATCTGATTCGTTGATGAAGGATATTCATGTCTTCTGATTGGATAAATGTACTTAGATTTGCTTCTCTTGCTAGAAGTCTCTGGCGTTTGTCTTCAGATCTGATGAACACATCTTCGATGTCCTAAAATTCAAAGTCACAGACGTGTCTCATAAACAGCTTACAATGTGTTACAATTTAGCTTTAAGACATTACTTTTGTTTTTTCTATAGTGCCTGAAATTTACATACAGAAATTTTGAACTTAACAAAGATTTTCCTGGAAGAGTTCTAATCTGAATAATTGTCCTAGAATAATTAAGAATTAATACAGTACCTTGCATCTATTTATTTCTCTTTGAATATCATCATAATTGTCAGGCACATCTCTTTCAAGAATAGCTCTAGGCTCTTTCAACCAGGCCAAAATTTCATCTATGTCTTCCTCACAATCATGCCATTGTTTGAAGAGATCTTCCAGTCTTACACGATGTTCTTCTAGTTGACTGTAGACCTGGTACCAGCTATGTTCTAATTGGGCCAGACAAACCTTGATCTCCTTACAGGCTGTCAGATCAGCTTGTTCTAATAGTATATTACCCATATTATTAACTTTCTTAAACTCATTTTCTTTTAATTTGAAGTGTTCTTTTGTCGTCTGCAATTCAAAAGAAAATGCATTTAGTGGGGAACAAATTTGGCAAGTCATTTTTACAATTGTCTTTAAGTAAAAACAAACAAACTTCTGTAATCATAATGTAATATCCCTTCAAAAAAATTAGTAGATAACAAAGCAGGTTAATGACTAATTAGCTAAGGTATATGACTAATTGGCTATCTAGAGGCAATAATTAAGACCTTAAAGAATAGTAGAATTCGGGGTCCACGGAAAAGGTTAGAAATAGGTTTTAATTTCTATAATAAATAAGGTAGCATTACTAAGAAATGAAACAGGTTATCCATCCCACTGTTCAGTGACTTATATGTTAATCAACACAATAAGAGAAATTTTGTGAAATATCTTATTAAAGATAATCAATATGGAAAGTCTGTTATGAAATATACTTACATTAATATCCTGAAGTTGATTTTTAACTTGTAACATTGTAATATTATGATAGTCTATTCTTTGTAAACTGTGATCTTTATCACTCAACCAATTTCTTAACTTCTCACTCAAATCATTGAACATCTGCCATTGGGTGATATGATTATCAATGATATCTTTACGTCTGTTGGCACGACGAACTACTGTCTGCCACTGTTCTGCCAGAAGATGTAGTTTCTGTTGGAACTGTTCAGCATCATCAACTTCTCCAGTTCTCAATAACTGTTGACCATCGCTCAATATTCCATGTAATACTTGTTCACGACTGTATTTCTCAGCATTGAATTTCTGAAAGACAAAAGAGATGCATGCAGTTGCCAAATTCTTTGGACTTCTTTGATTGGATTTTTGGCTTTAAAACTGAGAAGAAGAGTCACAAATTCTATCATTAAAGTAAAACAATTTAGGAGTTCTGGCTGGTCGAAACTGTTAAACATGTCCATATCAGAAACAATGTTACAGAAGGAGATTTAAAAAATAGCTAGTCATACCTCACAGTTTATCTGTTGTTCAATAAGATCAGCTAAATTTCCAGCAGACTCCAAAGATAAATCTTGTTCAGTTTGTGCTAGGAAACTCATCCAACTTTCACATTTAGCTGTAAAATCTTGATGAACCACAACATTTCCTTGTAACATCTTACACCTCATACTGGTCTCTGAGAGCAGACGGTACCATTTATGGTTAAGCTCTTGCATACGGCTTGCATCAAACGGTTTCAGTGCCAGTCTGTAACCAAGGTTGTTGACAGTGTCCAGGTCGATCATGTGGTCATTGAATTGCATCTGAAGAACTTTCAACTGATCAAGTCTGCTCTCCAGTCTGAAACTGTCTGCCGACTTCTGAGGATCTTCTGCTGCTAATATTGATTCAGCATGAGACAGGAAGGTTTTGATGACATCATATGCATCATGGAAGTTGTTGAGTTGTGATGTATCTTCAGAAAGAGATTCAATATGATGTGAGAGTTGTTGACGTAATCTTATCAATCTTTGATCAAGTAGCGTCTGTCTGGATGACAATACTGAGATTGTTGATTGGTCCATGTGTTTGGTGAGGTCATCACTTAGCTGATAGAGGTCAGCAAGCTTCACTTGGATGTCATCTAGCTCCAATTGAAAGTTCTGATAAGAAAAATAAATTGTTAAATGAAACACAATGAGAACTAAAAGTTCAACTCGCAATTGGAATCCATGAATTAGGTTATTCAGCTGACATCTGCTAAAATTATTTCCATACTTGGACAAGTCAATACACAATTGTCTTATCTATATATATATATATATATACAAATTGTCAAACCAAAATGCCTTATCTATATATAATGTCTATATAAATATAATAATTAAGTACCTTGCATCTTTCTAAATAGATAGGACTCGACTCGTCTTGTGTAGATTTTAAATGGCTAACTTCTCGTTCTTTTTCATCCAACATGTTACGTAACTTAATATACTGATCATCATATTTCTGCCATTGTTTTAGTCTGGCTTCAAAAATCATACGTCTGTCGCGAACCTCACTGCTTAACTTCTGCCACCTGAAAATTTCATATCACATCAGCCTACAATTTCTCTATATAACTCTGCAGTTCGGAATACACAAACATCTAGTTCATTCAAAATAGAAGAGCATAGCAATTGTGCAAAATAGTCACTTTCAAAATTGATTACTTGTCACTGAATGACATGTGGAATAACATCATTGACTGTAAACTGAACTGATTTGAGATGTCTGAAATAAACATTAAATTCAAATTTGACTTTTGCCCAAAATATAAAATTTGAGGAAGAGCTACTGATCTTACCTATCTTGAATATCTTTAGCAGTTTTCTTTAAATCTTTCTTAACATTAGCTTCACAATTCTTACAGTGTTCTTTACTTAGTGATAGGAAGGCGTCTAATTGTGGTTTATTGTGTAAAAGTTCACTTTCTCTTGTCTGAAGTAAAAAGTAGCGGTACAAAAGACATCGCAAGATGAGAGTGGCTCAGTGTTGCATCCATACATAAGATATCACCTTAAGCAGGGTTAAAAAAGCAAGTTTTGTCCACTGTAACATATAGCTAATAGGCTATGGTCATACTAGTATGTTTTAACTAGTATATGGCATGAGACACTGAAAACCAGAGAGGGTAGGACATTTTACTATTTCACATAAGCAATGATGTAAAACTGGATGGCAATACCAATGGGTGGTTAAATATTTTGAATTTTATACTTGAGAGCATTATGTCAATTCACATTTTGTTTTCAGAATTGCTCCTTCAGTTGGTAAATATGTTACTGTCAAAGATGATCACTTAAATGTATCTGCACGAAATATTCCATAAACCCACCTTTAATTTGTCCACTTGATTTCTAAGAGTAGCTACATCACCTCCTATTAGCTGATAGTTATTGAGACAGTATTCAGTTTCAGATAGTAGTGTATGTATAGCTTGTAGTTCTGACTGGTATCTACTCCATATTCCAGTTCTACTTTCTACCATATTGTCCAGATCTACTAGTCTCTTTTCTAGATTAACCAGTTCCTGATTAATAGTACCAACATGAGATTGGACACTACGTTGTATGCCTGGTGAATCATGACATAGTTCCATCAATCTGTCACCTTGATCTTTAAATTTACTGATTTCTCCTTCTTTAAAACTTAATGCTTGTCTGATAGCCTATATCATACAAATATATAAAAAAAAAACCTTTTTGATACAAATCAATGAAAGAGATCTTCCCAATAAAACAAAACTTTATACTCATATGCCTAAAAGATGAAGCCTACAATTTACATGAAGTAATTAAAATGTTCAATTAGTTCATAGATAACACAAAGATGATCCTGGCAGTTTATTGAATGAAAAAATATCAAAATTATACAAAGAAGTATTGAAAAAGTGCAGATAGAGAATGAAAAGTATTGAGCCAACCTTAATGTCAGTTCTAGTTTCCAAAGCACCAACTTCTCTTCCAGATTCCAAATAAACATTTAATTTTCTGTTCTGTTCCACAAACCATTTCTCTATTGCAGTAAAATTATGTTCAAATCTTCCCCATTGAGCTTGAAGTTGTTCAAGGAAATCTAAACGTTTGTTTACATTACTAGACACGATCTGCCACTGGTTGTTCAAGTCTCCAAGTTTCTCAGCAAAGGCAACTTTTTCTGTCTGTTCTTCTTCTTTTTGTGGTTGTAAGATGGACTGGTTGACAAAATCTATTGTGATTTGTTTACTAGCTAACTCCACTTTATAATCCTGTAATTTAGATATTCAATATTTTGTATAAATTGAATTCCCTAAATAAGAAATTATTTTGATATATAAGGACATACATCATTGGCCAAAAACAAATGAAATATTTCCATGTTCATTAATTTGCATCAGTTACTATGGAATTATCATATGTTTAACATGAAATAACTGTATTTACCTTGTACTTTCTGAGCATCATGTCAACGTCAGACACAGTTTTGATAGTTTTATGGGGATCATCACGTAAAGACTGTTTGATTTCCTCCAACCAATCCTCTAATTCTTGAAGAGCTTGTCTTGATGGCATTCTAGCCATCTGTTCTTTATGGAGGTATTTTTCAGCCTCACTGATATCATTTTGAAGAGCTTCCCAATCGTTCTCAAATTTCTTCAATTTTTCACTCAGTCCAGTTGTATTGTAGCTTTTGTTACTTAATAATTCATGACCTGATTCCAAAACTTTGTTTTTGAAAGGGATTTGGTTCTCAACCTCTTTTTGGAATTCCTGCAAAAGAGTCAGAAAACACCTGTGCTTAGGTTTCATATGAAATTTCTTGGAAGTAAATATGAATACCGAAATATTCATGGAAGGATCTAGCATACTTAGTTTTTTGTGAATTCCATGCAAACAATAACATCTATTCTTCAAAAAAAATATATAAGCTCTGGAAAAACACTTGGATACTAGAAACTAGAATATTTTTTAGTCTATAGAGGGTCTTACCAGAAGTTTTTCAACCTTGCCTCTCACTCCAGCAATACTCTTCTTTTCTTTCTTAGTCAGTTTCTTCAGACTCATAACCTTAGTATTAGCTGTAGCTAACCAGGAGGCCAGTATAGATGCTTCAGCTTCAAATCTTTGTAGCTCATCCCCTAAAGTTTCAGTTCTAAAACAGGAAGATTAACAATAAGATTTCAAGATGGCATATGACCCATGTACAGGGATATACTCGTATGAATATTTGCTTTGGTGATGAATTCATAATAATAGAAACTACTTCAACCTAGAATGTTATTAGCAGTGTTATGATGACAGCTAAACTTCTACAGCCCTATACGCTGCTTTTATCTTTGAAAGAAAATGCCGACTTGCTTTAGATCCCCGGTTGCCAACCTGGGATGTCAGGGGTGTGGCCAACTTGTGTAGGAGAATAATTTGTTTTGAATTGAGAGAGCACCTCAACACATGTTGGAAATATGGATGAAACAATGTTGAGTGAAATGTCCAGGTGATTGCTTCAAAGGTGTGTAGGCTGAGAAAGGTTGGGAACCACTATATTAGATCCAACATTGCCACTGAATTTGCTCCAAGCTCCTTGGAACCAGAAATCATGCCACATTGCTATTGCATTTTTGTTGGTACCAGTCAGTACCATTAGCATACAACTTAATTGATATGTATAATACCAGACCTACCTCTTGAGTTCATGAGATAATGAAGTATTTAAATCCACCCATTTATCAGCTAAATCAGCTATAGAGGTTTCTAGTTGAGGACAAGTTACACTATGTAATAACTGTTTACCAAGATCCACCACATGAAACACTGCAGACTTTTCATTGGACAGTTCTTTCTGCAGACGCATTAATGTAGCTAATTTTTGTTCAATGGTCTTTAATGAGTCGCCATTAGCAACAGGTTTTGGAATGTCATGTTCAATTCTAGACAAAGATCTCTTTACAGTGGCATATTTTTCATCAAGTTCTGACCACTGTTTATTAAGTCTATCTAGTTTTTGACCATGTAAACTGGCTTGGTCCACAATAACATGGGTAGAGTTTGTAAGTCTGGAATGTTCCTGTCTATGTTTATCTTGAACTGTTTTACTACACTGATCAGCTAAATGATCCAGCATTGCTTTATGGCTTTCAAGACCGCTGAAGAAATCCTGAAAAGAAGAAAATTGTAATTTGAAAAAAGATTCTTCTTCATTTTCAATACCACAATGACAGACAATCTCAGTCATCAAGAAATTTCAGCAAATTTAGACAAGTAATTGAAAAACATTCATGATAAAAGAAAATATACTCACCCTATTAGCAGTAAATTGTTGTCTTAAATGATGTAAATCGGTAGCTGATAAACAAGTTGTTTTTAATTTACTTTCAGCTGTTTGTAAATATTCACTATAATCATCTAATAAACTTTCATATTGTTCTTGTTTAGATGAGAATTGTTGTAGTTCAGATTTTCTCGCTGTTAGCTGAAAGCAGGAACCAAAATTTCGGTTAAAATAAATTTCTAAAACTGCACCACAATATTTCATCAATGTACCTTGTCATCATCCGGAATGTACATTGTCATCATCGGTGTCAGTCATCCGGAATGTACATTGTCATCATCAGGAATGTACATTGTCATCATCAGGAATGTACATTGTCATCATCAGGAATGTACATTAGAGAGAAAACACAAATCTAAATATTTGATCTACCAGCTGATGGATCACAATTTCAGCTATACATATCACTCTTAAAAATTAAGATGCAAATTTTATGATATTTTATGGTACTCCTACAATGAAAACCAAAGTACCAAAGTATTTATTTGAAACTCATCTGTCCTAGCCATGTATTCTCAAAAAGATCTTAGCACTAAGATATCATAGAAAGCGTGTTAGAGACTTCCCTAGGACATCCTACTGCTATGATGGTTTTGAGAATACGCAGCCTGGTGATGTATATGATACCCAATACATAGTGGCCACATAATTACACAACATATACGCGAGCAGCCAGTAAACCCGCTGTTATCATTTAATGACGTCACAGAACATTAACGTCATACACTTTAACTTATATATTACTTCAGGGTATATGACGAACCTTTCTTTGTATATCCATATAACTGATCTGTAGACTGTTGAGTTCTGATGGAAAAACACCATGAGGAAAACTACTAGCTAAGTCTTTTTCTTGGTGTTTTAAGTCATTCATTTGTTTCTCACAAGATTCTAGATCAGATTCTACTCTCTATAATAAAAATAAACATAACATTTTGATGGAGCAAGTTTTGTATGAGGATATTGAACAATTTTGTGCAAGGTTATATTGGCATACATTCTGGACGTCCTAAACAATTATATTTTGCCAACGTAGAATCAAACATCATATAAAACTAGGTTAAGTACTAAGGAAAGAAATGGCATTAACTTAAAACTGATGAAAATTTGCAAATGGCAAACTAACTCCACGTTAGATCACAACTACTCTATGAAATTTGCCAAATAAAAAACAGCCAATGAGGTTCAGAATAACAGACAACTTACCTGTATTTGAGCAGCCAGATCATCAACAGACCAGGATGGTGAATGATGGGAAATCAATGTTTGTGTGTCTGCTAATTGTTTCTGACACTTCTCTACACCAGTCTGGAATTTAAAAAAGAAAATGAAATCCTTCTTCCTGCTCTTCACTAAAGATATATAATAATTAGAAACATTTATCTTACTTTCTACATCTAATTTGGCTACTAATTACTGACAATGTTTTGCCTTGAGTTTAAGGGTTCCAGAGATAAGACCTTTAAAATTTCGGGTTTCCCAACTGTCTGTGGATCACAAGGTCAATGTTTATCGGATCATCAGAAAACATTTTCAGAGAACTTTTGTAGCATGACAGGATAACCTTATTCTTTAACAATGCTAAGGCCCAGATTGTACTATCTTTTTAATGTCAACAAAAGAAATGTGATTCTTCGCAGTACAAAACTAGCAAAGTCCTGGACTTAAAAACAGACAATCAGAATTGATATGATATCTTCAGACACTGTATAATGACATCATGTAAAACACATTTAACTCTTGATACATTTTAACAATAAAATCCACAAACCTGATATAGCTTCCATTTTTGATTGACTTCCTGTAATTCTGTGGCCTGATTTTGAGCATGTGATTCCAGTGTTTCAACTCGATTATGTAAATTAGATAAACTCTTTTTAATCAGAGAACCATGTTGAACATTGGAAACAGACAGCAGATCTTGAGCTTGTCTATTCATTGTGACTATTTCTTTCTGTAAGGACTGAATTTCTGATTGGAGAGCCTACAAAGATAAAAAGATTTCATGGTACATAAATACATTATTTCATCCCATAATCACTTTACACAAAATCAACAAATGTCACGTATGTTGAAAAAAATTAGATTCAACATACCGCATTTTCCTTGATCTGTTCTTCCGTTGATTTGGTCAAATCAGCAGAGAATAATTTCTGTTCAGCAGAATCTAACCAACCAGATATACTCAAAATGGCATTCTGGTACAACTGCTGGAAAGCTATGGCTTGGTCCAGACGTAGCTGTTTATCATCGGTTTGTCTGTTTAACTCTGACCAACTTGTATTCAGATCCGCTATTATCCTTTGTACATCTGCAAGTTGGGTATCTGATGCCACATCTTGGGTGTACGTCCATGGTCGATACTGGACACTTGACCTTCTGACTTCCTGAAATTCCAAAAGTTTAAACTTCAGTAATATTTCTGCAAATCCTGGCATTTTAAAAATATTAGTTGAATCTGTGGTTAATGAATCTTTAAACTTTCAATGTAAACCAGTCAATGTTTACTTTCACAAATAATTTCTATTAATTAGGGAATGTAGCTAGGATAGTATTCAAACTAATGAATTTATTAATTAGGTAAAAGACATAGATTAGTATAATCCTCAGATTATGTCACCTTAATCCAATCAATTAGAGACTTTATTAGGTCTGTATTGGTATTTCTGTCTAAATAAATGGGTCAATCCTTAGAGGATTATTACACTAAAATATAAGACAGTAGGATATATCTATAGGGTATCTCAGCTTGGAATTGTTATATTTATGTGCTTGAAGTCCTTATAAAAGGGACTAATACACCATTACTTACTTAAATTGGTGTAATAATTGATGGTGAACATATTTTAAACACTACTCAGTAGAGTGAACTGAATTCAACACTCAAATTGATGTAATAATTGATAGTGAATAGATTTTAAACACTACTCAGTAGAGTGAACTGAATTCACTACT